AAAAAAAATGTAAAAACCCCCCTTTTTTTTTTTTTTTTGCACATAAACATGCTAACACAAAATGTGCAAGGTGCGCTGAATTGATAAAAGCTTTTAAAAAGTGTCACCAATGGACAGGTTTGGGTATGATAGTTTTACGCCATTTCACAGATGCACACAGTTTTGAAGTTTGATGTATTTGGTATCCTTTTACTCTTCTTTTATCATTAAAAATTGGGTAATCTATTGTGCTAATATCATGAAATCATCACACAAAAACACATTTTATTCTATAGAGACTCTGCTTTCAGGCAATATATACTTATGGGGAGAAAGGGGGAATAAGTAAACTTTAGGCCTAACATGTGTATTTTAATGTGTGTGCAAAGAAACCCTGCAAAAACAGCTCTAGCAGCGAAAGGGTTAAATCCCTCATCTTCCACAAATGATTCAGATAGAAGGGTCTTACGGCCAGATCCTTCGGCAGCTTCGTGAATAGACCTCATAGTCTTCTGCTAGTGTGTTAGGTAAACTATTAGGGAGGCTTACAATCCAGGTGCATACCACAAGATACTGTACTTACTCAGTTACTGTGGTAGTATTTAATAAGTAGTAGAGGTCAGGGGTGACCTCTGCTTGCTGCCAGGATGAACACCCTGCAGATGATAAGTGATTTATAAGGTATCTTAAAAGTAACTTACAAGGGATGTTGGTACCCCCCATAGGGGTAAATAACCTTTCCAGTCATGAAACTTTTTAAAACCGTTTTTAACACTTGGCACTACACTTTCAGAGAAATAAATAAAATATTTTTTTGAGCCAATTACTAGGGGTCTAGTTCAGCGATTCCACTAAATATAGAGAGAGATTAATGTATGATATATGCAGTGGCTCTGAATTGTTTGTTTTTTTAAAACAGAATTTTGTTTAAATTTAGGAATATATATCAGGCTGGCGCATAAACAGATAGTATCTACAGCATATTAATCATACCCTGTATACAAAGAAATGATAATGTGTTCCACTGTTGCGATCTTGTTTTGAAACACATACCGGAAAATCTGATCCAAAATCTGTCTTGAATTCATTTTTCTCTATGTCATCAAAGAGGTGGGCTGTTCCTGAGTCAATCTCCATTTGATCTAAGCCATGTTCCTAGGAAAGCAGAAAATTGAGGAAGCCATCAGTAAACTTTGGTTACGTTGTCACAAAGAGTAATGTCGGTTGAATATGTATGTAAAGTAGCAGGAAAGTGACATTTGAGAAAAAAAACATATTTTTTTTGGTGCGGACACTGTCCTTCCTTCTGGAGGGTGGCTACTTTTGTTCCCCATGGTCCCTGTGTGTGTTGTAAAGTAGCCACTGCTCCACAGCAATGCCCGCGTTCTGCTGCAATCGCAAAAAATAGTGCATGCACCCATTTTATTATTCAGGGATTCTTTCACGTCAAACAGTTTAAGGATTTCAGACTCTTATCTCACTAAGGGCCTCAGTAATACAGTGATAGCAGGGATTTTCCATGTGTATACAGAAAGCAAAAACCTAGTACAAATTTAAAGCAAGGAATGCATTGTAAAAACATTTATGGGGCCCGTTTTTTAGGCTTCTTTTAATGAGAAAATATTTGCTTATAAATGAAATACTTCTTACCTCTAGCTTGGCACTGAGATCTTTAGAATAATGGTCATCCATATGTTCTCCACTGGGCGAGTGAGATCTGTTACTAGCAGACAAGTCACCGCGTGATATCAAGGTGCACATATAGGCATCATGGGAAAATATATCATGTCGGATGAACTCACAAAATAATAACACCAAATTAACAAACTCCACTTTTTCATGTTCGTTGTTTGGATCACCTAAGAAAAAAATGAAGAGGTCCAGTAATGCCGTGATCTCAATGTTCCACTGTGCCTAAAACACAACGTTCCTGCAGTATTAGCGAAGCCAAACCCAACATGCCAGGTTTCATGTACGTTTCATTGGTAGGATACTGATGACTTTTCTGGTAATTTAAAACCAACAGCCATTTTAAGCTAAACCCGAGGCAAACAGATAAATACACAAATAAAATATATATATATATATGGGAGCTGTTTCACCTGCTAAATGATTTACAGGGAAGGAGACCTGATTTTTTTTTTTCTCTCCGCTGCAGTTGAGTAACTCTTCTCCCTCCCTAGGCCTATAAATGGACAGCGAAAGGGGAAACAACACACTGATGAGCTCATCTTTCTATCACCCTGCTCTCTCCTCTCATCAGCATACTTTTTGATAGCATGTTCCTTGTTAGTCCATGAGCACTGCAGCACTTTGACAATAAATAAATATAAACAGCTGCATTAACCCCTTAGTGACACAGCTTCAGAAAATGTTTTAGTTCATGGGGACTGGAGCAATTTTGTGATTGTTGCTGTTTGTTTAACCATCATTTTCATTTTCCTCATTCATTGCACCTACACATATTATATGCAGTTTTTTAAAGGACAAAATGGGCTTTAATGTGATGTGATATAAGCATATACAGGTGAAACTCGAATAATTAGAATATCGTGCAAAAGTAATGGTAGTAAGTGCTGCAAAAGGGGCCCAAACCAAGTACTGAGTACATATGCATGCTTGTACTTTTCAGAGGTCCGATATTGTTCTATGTACAATCCTTGTTTTATTGATTGCATGTAATAATCTACTTTTTTGAGGTTGTGGATTTGGGGTTTTCATGAGCTGTAAGCCATAATCATCACAATGATGACAAATCACGGCTTGAACTATCTTGCTTTGCATGTAATGAGTCTATCTCATATATTAGTTTCACCTTTTAAGTTGCATTAGTGAAATAAATTAACTTTGCACGATATTCTAATTATTCGAGTTTCACCTGTATAAATTCTTATGTTTTAATAGAAAATGCAAAGACATGGAAAAAAAAATTCTTCACAGTTTTGCCAATAATAATGTGTACTTAATTAGTGTAGCTAACAGAAGATAATTCATAATAAATTATTTTATTTTTCCTGATTTATGGGGTATATCATATGTCTGGGATTTCAGTTTATCGTGGAAGTTATAGGACACAAAATACAAGAAGTGAAATACAATTTTAGGGTGGAACAATTTTAGAATGTGGTATGTTTGTCTCCTAACTTTAATAACTGTCTCAGCACTATATTTTCTTATAATTATTTTATTAAACATATTTTTGTTCTCCTTTTTTTACTTTTTACTTTTTTTACATTTTCAAATTTTTGATGGGCTTTTCATGCAAAGTATTCTGGAGGAGATACAAAGTATCTCTGGGGGCGTGGTCTGCACCACGAGACTGATGGCAGCTTGAGTTGAGAGCTCCGGCCAACAGGGACCCACACGAAGCTATTTTAGCCCCTTTTTGGACTAATATGAAGATCGGGCAGCTGGACTACCAATCCAGGGTCCGGACACCCTCGAAATCTCGAACGAACAAGCACGTTCCGGACATTTTCAGGCACCAGAAAGCAGACGCGGGGGTATCGGGTTCAACCAAAATGGCGCTCACCCAGACCAGGCCGGAGAAGGTTAAGACGCCGCGAAAGGCCGAGGAGACTGCACCCGCCTCTCAGATACCCTCTTACCTACAAGACCTCCCGACTAAAGCGGAGCTCTCCTCAATGGCCTCGGACATCAAGGCGGCCCTATGCGAGGCGGTCAAGGAGCTGAGACGGGACATCCAAGATGTTGGACAATGCATGACGGCAGTGGAGTCGGCGGGCCGCGGGAGAGACATGGCGATCCGCCAGCTCCAAGGTCAGTGCAATGCCACAGCACGTAACCTGATCGACATGCGGAGGCATCTGGAAGATCTCGATAACAGGGGACGCAGGGCCAACATTCGACTCAGGGGGATCCCTGAGACGATCCTGCCTAATGCTATCCAAGATGCACTGAGACACATCTTTAATGATTTACTGAAACGCCCGGCAGAATCCCCCATAGAACTTGTTAGAGCTCACAGGGCCTTGAGACCAGAGCCGCAGCCTTTGCAATTACAAACGGTACAAGACAGGGGTGTCCCCTATCACCCATCATCTTCATATTGACACTGGAACCGTTTCTTCGTCTGGTACAGACCGAACCGGAGGTGAAGGGGGTCGGTCAGCGAAGCACAGAGCATAAGGTGGCAGCTTATGCGGATGACATGCTGTTTTTCCTGACGGACCCACGAACCTCCATGGTGAAGCTATTCCAAATGTTTAAAGAATATGGGGACCTGTCCATCAATTACACGAAATCTGAGGCCTTAGCCCTGAATGATGTAGGAGGAGGATCTACAGACCTGCAGAGCTTATTCCGAGTACGATGGGAGCGAAAGGCCATAAAATATCTGGGAATATACCTCACTTCCTCCATTGCAGATCTGTTCAGTCTAAATTTCCAACCGCTCCTAGCGACGGTAAAGCGGGATCTCCAGAGCTGGAGGCCTCTTTCTGTCTCCTGGTTCGGGAGGGCTGCCCTGGTTAAGATGATTGTTCTGCCAAAGTTGCTCTATATGTTCCAGGCAATTCCGATCCGAATACCATGTAGATGCGGAATTCAGACGCTTTATTTGGCAGGATAAACATCCGAGAGTGTCGTGGTCCCTCTTGAAGACCCCCAAGACAAAGGGGGGTTTGGGAGTCCCAGACACCAATGGATACTATAGAGCCTTCACCTTAATAGGATAGTGGACTGGCATGCCAATGGCAGCTCTAAACTATGGGTGGATATGGAGGTGACCTGGACGGAACAACCACTGACCTCAGCTGCGTGGATACTGGACAGATATAGGCACCCAGATATAGCAACACAACCTCTTATTGAGGCGTCCCTACATGTACTAACAGGGCTCAAACGCAAGAAACATCTGACCTCCCATGAGGGACCTCTGACCGCACTGACAGATAACAAAGCATTCCCAGCAGGTTCTACAGAGGAGTTTGTACGCCAATGGCAACCCCAGGAATCGAAGTTTGTACGCCAATGGCAACCCCAGGAATTGCTGAGAGGACACACTTTTTTCAAACACCAGAAATTCCTAGACAGAATAGACCTACAGGAGATGTCCAGGTGTGGGCGGGTACCCTGGTGGTCGTACCTGCAGGTACGGCACTACCTCAATAGCGGAAAGGGAGACTTTGCCAGGGGCATGCCACCCTTTGAAAAGGCCTGCACATAGGCGCTTCGTAATCTGAAATATTGTGTGCAGCTAACAATTGGGGCGGATTGTACCATGTGCAGGAGACATCGTTTTCTTTCTTTTGTTTTACCGTTGTGTTCTGTTTATTTTTGTGCAAAAAACAATAAAATAAAAATTTTGAATGGAAAAAAAAAATACAAAGTATCTCTGAGGAGAATACAGTATCACTTCTGTAATACACCAAGCCGGCTTGCAGCTCCACAACACAGTGAGCTGCAAGCCGGCTCAGTGGTTGTCACAGCTCTGTGATCACAGTGATTACCTATAGCTGTGACCACAGTGCTGGGATCCCTTATTTGCTGTGCTGTTTTTATTTGCTGTGCGGGATTATTCTGTCACTGGTCTTTAACGACTTGAAGACCAGGGTGTTCAACCCCCGTCCTGTCCAGGCCATTTTTCAGTATTCAGTGCTGCGGTACTTTGACTGACATTTATTCATTCATGCAATGCTGTACTGAAATGAATGTTATACCATTTTTTGGGAACACAGAGCTTTCTTTTGGTGGTATTTAATCAACACTGGGGTTTTTATTTTTTACTATATAATGAAAAAAGTACGGAAAATTTTGAAAATTGCGTAACATTGTATTATTAGACATTTATTATTACCCAATTTTTGGTAAAATATAAAAGATGAGATCAGGTCGGGTAAACTGACACCGAACACATCAAGCCTTAAAATTGCGCGCACCTGTGAAATCGGAAATAACTACCGTACCAAAGATTGGCTAAAGGCGACACTTTGAAAGCTTTTACCACTCATCAGTTTAGTATTAACAGTGGTTAATGGCTGTAGAATTATGACTCGTGCCCTGACGTTTGTGGTGATATGTAACAAGTGCAGAGCAATGGGCCCAACTGCCGTTTTCGCACAAATTTTTCTTTTAACACTTAACTTTATTGTTATCACATAGGGGGATAAGAAGCCATATCAAATTACAGTGACAGGTCCTCTTTATGAAGGCATCGGGGGTTTCTAAAACCCCTAATATCACCTAGGGACCCCCAAAGAAGCTGATGAAGCAGAGACCTGCTTCACCAGCTTCTCTGGCTTCTGTAGCTGGAAAATGACAGCTGAATGTGGAAGTGATATGATAAACATCACTTCCACATTCACAACACTGGTGGGGAGATCAGAGGGAAATCGTGTACTGACCTCCATGCACAGAGCCGCTGTGTTGGTCCCAGGCCCGCACCGGGCACAGCGGAGCTCAGGACCGGCGGAGAGAGGGGAAACATGTAGCAGCACCACAGCAATCGGGCGGCTCTACAGCCACCAGAACACTTTTACGTAAACAGACGCAGCCAGCTGTCTCAAATTTTGACAGTTTCGAACACAAGAACGTTTTAAAATGCCCACCCGCATCTAGAAGGCTCCTGTCCGGCCATTTATATATGGCGGCTGGATGGGAAGTGGTTAAGGAACTGAAAGACCGTGACTAATTAATCCCGTCATCAGTCGGGAAGGGGTTAATCTTTTATAGCTGCCTGGAGATCAGCTTTAGATCATAATACTTTAGGCAGTCTCAGAGCTATTTATGTAGCTGAAGTGTCCATTGCAAACACACAATAAGTCCCCTTCCACAGAAAATAGAATATATATATTAATTAATTGCTTTTCATAGTCAAGCAGCTAAATGAGTTAGATTTTCATGCTGTGGCTCTTTACAGTTGCCAGTATCCTTATATTCTGGGTGGCCCTGAATCCATGACTATAAATATGTATACAATGCATATTATAGTTCCAGCACCTACCTCTCCCTGAGTTCATTTGCAACCTGTCAACGCACATTAAAGAGTGAAAGAAAGGATGCATGTTATGGAATCATGCAAAAAGAGTGCTAAATATAGCTTCACTGGATATTAGAATGATCAGATTAGTGTAAATGACAAGGGGACTGAAAACACAAAGCGCACAGCTCATCCCTATCATGTGTCCCCGCAATCCACATTCGGTGCACGGATGACTATAATGCGGAGTAATATGCTCAAAAACTGTGGAACCAGCACACAATAATCTTCCAAAGAAATTCAAACTTTATTCCACATGCATCTGTACAAAGCACAACTGTTGACGCGTTTTTGCCTTACTCGGCCTTAGTCATAGCTCATATGACTAAGGCCGAGTAAGGCAGAAACGTGTCATCGGTTGTGCTTGGAAAAGATGCATGTGAAATAACGTTTGAATTTCTTTGGAAGATTATTGTGAGCTGTTCCACAGTAAATGACAGGGGGACTCTGGAAAAAGGTACATGCAAAATAGAACTGCATTTTTGTTTACTGTCTTAACTGATACTGTTAAATTTTTGCAATTTTGATATTTACATGTTTGCCATTCTGCAAAGTGATGAAGCATTCTGTGCTAATTTAATTCCAGGAAAAGTATTAATACTTCTGGTTCACCATCTAGTGAGCAGTCTGGACTTTGAGATGATAAAAAAGCTATAATTCCTGAGCTAGGAAATAAATGGCTGTGCAGTGTGACAGATGTGTGTGAATCACAAGGCTGAAAGAGCCGAACTACAAATACTCTGGAAGGAAAATCAATTGATGTATTTCTACAGTGTATCTTAGCTGTTTGCCTAAAGTTCTGCCCTACATGGGCCATCATTGCACAGAAACCTGTAATGTTTCCAATTTCACATTAGTAGTTCATAACTGCTGCTACCCAGGGTGGCTCTTCTCTATCTATATTTAGTAATTGCCAAAGCAAAAAAAAAACAGAACAAAGATCACACAACTTACTGAGAGATGGGGCTTGAGAATCTAAAAATCGAAGCAGAACATTCTGAAAAACAGGTAGGCTGGATCCTGGAAGAGAAGCTGAGGAGATTGATTCCTTCTCATCCAGAACCTCTGACTCACTGCATCTCTGTAAATGTCAGAAAAAGTGACATGCTGTTTAAACCAACAGGAATTGTATACACATACAGAAATTACCTTTACTAAACACACGTATAAAATATGTACACCACTACACAGTACAAAATACAAAAAACTATGGCATAGCCATGGCCCAAGAGGTAGTGCTGATCTTACATGAATAAGAAGAGTTATGTACATGTATTTAAAGCATCTGAGCGGGTCAGCAAAGGAAAAGAAAAACATTTTGATTTGTCACCAAGGATTACTGCATTAAATTATTATTAAAGTTAAAATGGATGCTGCTTCTTGATGTTTAAAAGTTTTAGCTTCCTGCAGGATCAGCAGGTCCCCTGAGCACTGGCTCTGATATTATGTTTTAGGATGGCTCATTTCTCTTGTAGTGTCCTATGAAGCCACCCTTTTGTGTGCTAGTAAGCTGTGTGTATAAACAAAGACACAGGCACAGTGGGGCTTCTACTCCCTGCTCCCCTCTCCCACTTTCTCCAAGCCAGTAGATGGGCAGCTGCTGGAGACTATCCTGTCCCTTGTGATCTTTTACTGGACAGGAAGTTCCGGGAGGCAGAGCTGGGAGAGTTGGAGACATTTGCTTTGAAACATGATGACTGTAAATGCTTGTGAAAAAATTTAAAGAAATACTTTGCTGGGCAATGCACATTTGTTTGATCTGGATTTTAGTATTGTAAAAAAAAAAAGTGTGAGAGTTTAACCAACGTTAAGCATATTGACCTTTAATATACTAAAATAGGACATGATAGTTCTGCTTGGCCTTGGGAGAAAATGTATGGTTTTTATGTTGCTTTCTATAAACTTCCTGGTGATATTTACTGAGAATAGCAGTTGACTATGACAGAAGTAAACTTATCTATAATAAATCATTATCTTGCTTAGCAATTACGCCAAATTCTGGAAATTATGTTTCTGATCAAAATGGTAGAAGATAACTTTGGACCTTTTTAAATGCTCCTTCCTTGTAATATGCTGGCTCCATAAAAGCTTCATTTTCAACTGACTGCATTCAAGTTTGAGCTGCATTAATAGTCCCAATGTTGACTTAGATTACAGATTTAACTAATACTAGGTATGTGAAACAGACAGCCTGTGTTTATGCAGGACTGTATGCATACATTAGATTACAGTACAGAATGTGAGAGTTTATTATCAGTGGATTGTTTATTTATGGCATGATTTCTGCTTAAGGGCCCGTCCACACCAGATGCAGTGCGTTGCAGCCCAACTCTGGCCAGAATGCACACCTCGCACTGCGTGCGGCCCGGTGCGATCAAAATAGCGCTTGCAGCAATTTGATCGCACCGGACCGCAGGCACAATGTGCCTTGCGATCCCATGCGGGCGATCGCATTGCGGCCGGAGGGCGTGGCTACAGTGCCATTCACTTCAATGGCCTGCCACGCCCCCTCCTGCCACACTAAAAAGTGAGCCAGCTGTTCTGGCCAGAATCAGGCCAGAACGCACTGCAACTGGTGTGAACGGGCCCTCAAGGCTAGCAGTTGAAAGTTCGAGTTAGAACCGAACACGGGGGTGTTCGGCTCATCACTAACCATCACCTGATGTCAGACAGTTGGTCTGTCAAATGCCTGACCTCACACATTCCCTTCCTTTGAGTGTGTTATGTGCCAAGTCAAGAAGTAGGGGAGGCAGCAACTGTCTGCCATAAGGTCATGTCTCACCTCCTTACTCAAGTTGATGAGCCTGGCTCAGATAAAGAAAGTAACACTAAAAGGGGCAAATATAAATATTTCATAGCTGAGCCAACTTAATTATAATAACTGAAGGCTGAATATACAGATTCTTGAGTACAGTCAAGTACATGTTTAAACATTTCAGTAACAGTTACATTAACGGATTCTTACAGGGATATTCAAAAAGGGTGAACAGTTTGAAGAAGGCAGAAGTGAACAATCTAGGACAACATAGCTGATTTGGAAACATTCTCCAATTCAGCTCACTTTCCAGTTCAGCTATGTTGTCCTAGATTGTTCACTTCTCCTGCCTCCCCCAAACTATTCACCCTTTTGTGAATAACCCGGTTACGCCTTTAAAGGTCCAAGCATATCACAATATTAGGTTATTTGGGGCTTTTCTTAGCAAAGACCAATTGGAAAATCTCGCCTCTCTGGTTTTACAATGTATGCTTCTTTACCTCTCCACATTAACAGTGCTTACCAGTAACACAAAAAGAGAAACAGCATCAAATAGTTGACTTTTGTTAGTAAATATAGTATATTAATAATGCATCACAATGGAAGTCAAATTAATAGAATCCCAGAGATGAGTCATACTTCTGACAATCCAGAAATACTCACCCATAACACTGGATTATAAATATTTAAAGAGTAGCATACTGTTAAAACAAGAAGGAGATTTAACAATGTTTATGTTACATTTTAGGCAAGTGCATGACAGTGCCTTCAATGTGGTCACAAAGTCAAGTCCCAAAGAGACCTCCCGTCACTTTCAAAATTACACTGAAGCCTTTGACATAATGATGCTTGGGAATAAAGTTACCAAGTTCCTTTTTAAAAATCATACATGGCAACAAACTCCAACTAACAGCACTTCTGAATAACCGATAAAATAAATATCTTCTACACCAAGATATGTTTAACGGCGGTTATGGGAAGTGAGATGGGAGTTGATGAGAACTTTCTTACTTTGTTTATACATCTTTTTTTACATGAAGACAAATTAAAGCAAATCCAAAGTTCCCAAATTCCTAAAAGATTGACTATAAGGATTACTTTTTATCCCGCAGGATAAGTATGGAGAGCTTTATGCTGGGAAAAAGTGTTACATGCTTTATAACAAGATTATACTGTATAATATATACTGTATAATGAATGTAGCTACACATATAAAGGGAACAAGCAGGAAGTTATAGCCTACAATCACCAAAGAACAAGTTTAACCTTAAGTCTCCATCTAAAGGTGCCCATACAACTGCGAATTATCGTACGATAATCGCGGGTGATCCCTGGATCGTACGATAATCGCAAGGTGTATGGAAGGTGTGCGACTGTTTCTACTGTACGGTCGAAAGTCTTTTATCTTCCAAGCACGCTGGAAAACCTGCCGAAAATCGTAAGATTTTCGGCGGTTTAGTGGCGTGCTCGGAAGACAAATGCTGAACGGGCCGGTGTGCGCAATTGCACACTGCCCGCTCAGCATTGCAGTCATCGGAAGCCCTCCACTCAGCGGGCCGGGCTTGCGATGATCGCAAGTACGATCTGCCTGTCCAAGATGGGCAGATCGTACGAGCTTTTAATTACCTTACAACCATCGCACTACAAAAGTCGTGCGATGGTTGTAAGGTGTATGGCCAACTTTAGAGAGACTTCAGAAATTGGAGCATTCGGGTAATCTGGAAAAAAAAATAAAACACTAACAACAAAACTTATAAAACTTGTACAACCAAAAACCAGAAACACTGAAATTCTACCAGTAAAGTATATAGATAATACTGAAGGAACCTTTCAGATGATAAGAAATGTCATAATTATGATTTAAAGTAGTAGTAAACTCTCAAACTTTCTCTTTTTATTAATGAATTAAGATCAAACAAATGGGCATTGCTTAGCAAAGTATCTCCTGACGAGGTCTTGATTAAAGAAACCTGCGTATGGCGGAGTTCTCTCAGACGTGAGAGTGAACAGAGGTGCAGCTTTTTGGAAGTGTTGTGTTTATATCTGCTTGCTCTATCACTGCATACACTTGTGAGTAAGTTATTTTTGATAAAGGTTTTTAAGTGTTTTTATTGGAGTGCACTATGGTGTGTGCTTGTTTTCACTTATCATACCGCATCATGGGGAAAGCCGGCTGAGGAGATTTAACGTCCAAGCGGCTGTGGATTGCTATAGATCAGAAGGATTCAAGCATTATAGTCTATACACAGAGCTTGAAATAGGAGTCATTGTGATAAATGACATCAGGGTGTTACCATCGGACAAGCAATCGTTGTCAACTGCACATTGAGTGGTGTCCCACCCGGCAAAGGGATCAGCAGTAGGAGACCTACTTATTAGGTCGCAGGAGATGGTGAGAGTGTCACTGAAAAGGGTTAACACTGAAGACACTGACTGAGGTGGATGTGTGATGTCTCCTGCAATGTAGTATTCCTTATCTTAATCACTATAATCATTTCAGACACTGGATCTTCATTTATTTCTTTGGACTTTACAATTGGTGAGGGGTATATATTTGTTTAATAAATTGCCCAGCAAAGTAGTTTTATCATTTTTGCCCAAGCACTTACAGTCATCATGTTTCCAATCATCTGCCTCCAACTTTCTCATCTCTGCTTCCCTAAACTTCCTGTCCAGTACAAGATCACAAGCTCAGTCAACAGCAGCTGTCCACCTACTAGCATGGAGAAGGGAGGAGGAAGGAATGAGGAAGGAGGGGTGAGGAAAGAGAACACGGAGGATTGTGGTGAGTCACCTTGCTGTGTCTGTGTGTTCGTGGAATAAATACTATCCTTGTTGCACTCCTTACCGAAAAGTTCCTTGTGGTGGGGGGTACTCTCAGTGACTACTGATGGCGCCGCAAATATCAGTAAATTGTAGAAATGTCGCCAGCACACCAGTCCTTTTAGAATAGCAAAAGCTTCATTTATTGAAGTTCTTTGTCATATGAACAAGTGCTTTTGGGACCATATAGGGTCCATTCATCAGGCTTTAGCATTAACCAATTGCTAAATCCTGATGAAGGGACCCCGTGTGGTCCCAAAAGCGCTTGTTCATATGACAAAGAACTTCAATAAATGAAGCTTTTGCTATCCTAAAAGGACTGGTGTGCTGGTGACATTTCTACAATTTGTGTGTTCGTGGACACATAAAGGTGGTTCCTTAGGACCCTGCAAGGGAGAGGAGCCACCCTAAAGCACGATATCAGAACCAGTGCTCAGGGGACCAGCTGCTGAAAACTAAACCATGTAAACTACAAGAAGCAGCATCCATTTGTAAGTGATTTAATCGGCATCTAAAATATCTTAAAAACCTTTTGACTTTAATATCATTTTAACCCTTTAGGTGTATGAGTATCTAAGGTATGTATCCAAAAAACGTATATTTTTTTAGACGTGGATTCCAATCTCCACCTCCATGAGGTTGACGGATGTGACCAATCACTTTAAATTTAGATTGTGCAAGAGCATGAAAATTTCTAACCACAGAGAATAATAGAATCTTTTTGTTGTGCAATTCTGTCTTGAACTTTCTGTATGGTTTCCCCAACTTATTTGAGGCCACATGGGCATTCAATCATATGATTCTAGTCTCCAAATACCACATAATGTGGTTTGTTGTATTCTAAGGAGAGGGAGGGAGGTCGGCTCTAACTAGCGTATTCCTAAGTGTCTGATTTCTGTGAAAGGCTTGTATTGGGGCACCTGAAATTCAGAATTTTTTGTGGATAAGCCTCTTTCAAAGAATGTCAGTTACAGGATAGAACTGAGATCTCTTGTGAAAAGGCATGATGATTCCAACCTTTATGGAGTATGATCAAACTTTGAACTGTGTTACTTTTCAACTCCTGGTCTAATAAAGATTTCTTGTTTACACACCCTTTTAATAGCTGTGTGACTCACGATTCTTTCCACTCCAGACATTGGCCTAGGGTTGGGTTCACACCAATGCACTGCAGGAACATGCATGCAATGCACGTTTAACATATTGTGGTGCTGCAGTGCCATTCATTCCTAATGGCACCCCAAATTACCTTGCCAAAATATATAAAGTACAGGGCTAATAAAACATAACTGAGAAATACCTGACCAATAAAATGTGTGCTGAAATGTTTACATATAGACACGTGATACCCTAAACATTAGTAAGGATAGTCACACTTATCTCCATATAACTGGGTTAAAAACACCTCCAGGATCATGTTCAACCACACATATGGACAGTCCTATTATCTCACAATGAAGAACACATAATGCGTTACATAGCATAAAACCATAATAAACTAAAATTTAAATTTAAAGCAAGGGGAGAGCTTTTACAAGTTTTTTAATGTTGCCAACCAACTAGCAAACAGCATTTATGTACTTTCACTCCAATTGCCATAGTGAGAACTCTTCTCTATAAAATACTATAAAACCATTGCTATAATCGAATATAAAAAACAGTCCAAATATAGAAACATTATTGTGACCACATTATAATACCATATATAATACAAGATCATTACCATATATGTAATAATTACTAATAAAACGGTTTCACTCAAATTCCCCATTTAAAGCCTTCGGTATTTGCAAAAATAGGGCCATTTACTTTCTTGTTTGGATATTTTGCTTTTGAGGTTCAAACCTTTACAATGTTTGTGGGCTTTTTCAAGTTCCCAAACTGTAATCCAGTGGAATCATTTGTCATGTATTTGCATTTTAGTGCACCACAATGTACAGTAACACACTGCTATGCGTTGTGGTGAAACTGTCTTTCAAAAAAATACATGCACCTTTTTTGGTGAGTTTTAGTGTTCTAGAGAGCGTAATCAAATGAATAGGTTGCTCTAACACAACGCACATTAATGAGAAAATTAATGCACATTAACATAATTTATGTTAACACATTGAAACATAGCCTGAGAACTATGGACCTAAACATAGGGAGGATGGAAACATTTGTATGAGAGTAATTGGTTTACGGTCTGTGGGTTCAACAAACAAGTCAGTTTTGGTGTGGTCCCGGACACCTGCAATGCAGAATCAGTCAAGCTCAGTCAAGCTCATGAAAACATTTAGGGGTCTATTCACTATGCTGCCGAGGGCAGCCGAGTGAATGACCGATCAGAAGTGAAGTGAGCCGAACACTGTTCGGCTATTCACTTCAGGCTGGTACGGCTGATTTCAGCCGTACATCGGCTGAAATCCGGCGTACATTTCTGAACCGAAGGGGTCCTGGGGCCGAAGCTAGCCGAAGGATCGGCCGAAGCTACGGCCAGATCCCTCGGCAGCTTCGTGAATAGACCCCTTAGATGAACATCCCTTATGAATTGAAAGAAGCATGGCTTTTAGACACAATTGTTCAAGTGTTCAGGGCCACACTAAAAACTGACTTATTTGTTAAACCCATGGACCGTAAGCAATTATACTCCAAAAATAATGCCTTTTATTTGCCAATACGATGTTGTTCCAAATCAGCCAATGTGATTTGTCTGGATTTGTTTTCTCATTTTGTCTCTCATAGTTGAGGTCTACCTATTATGCCAATTACAGGCCTCTCTCATCTTTTTAAGTGGGAGAACTTGCACAATTGGTGGCTGACTAAATACTTTTTTGCCCCACTGTATATGGGAGTTTGCATAGGATCAGATGTAGAGGTCTGGGAGTTTGCAAAAAGAAATAGAGGTACAGGTATTGCAGTTTGCAGATGATTGGTAGAGGTAGAGGTATTGGGGTTTACATAGGATCAGAGGTAGAGGTAAGAGAGTTTGCAGGAAGTAGCAAAGCTAGATGTATGAGAGTTTAAAGTGACATTAAACCCTCAGATTTTTTAACATTAAACAATACTGTAATGTGTGCCTTACTGTAATCCATGGTTGTTTCCCTTCTCTTTGCTGCTCTTCCTTTTTAAATCCGTATCTCTTCTCATGCTGGGCAGAACTTCTGTTTTGCAGCAGACTGCCTTGTCTCTGGAATGGATACATGGTGTCTGTGTGCAGGTTCACAACCTGAGCCAGCACTACAGGAAGAGGCAGTCAGCTGCAAAGGGAAGTTCTCCCCCAGCATGAGAAGAGATAAGGATTTAAAAGGAAGAGCAGCAAAGAGAAGGGAAACAACTATGGATTACAGTAAGGCACACATTACAGTATTGTTTTATGTTAAAAGAAACTGAGGGTTTAATGTCACTTTAACCTCTTGCCGTCCGCCCGTAGTAAAAAAACGGACGGACGGCACTGCTACATCTGCGGGTTGACGGCAATTATTTTCTGCTCGCAGCGGTTGAATAAATGTCAGTCAAAGTACCGCAGCGCTGAATACTGAAAAATGGCCTGGATGGGAAGGGGGTTTAACACCGCGGATGTCAACTGGTTAAGGAAGAACAGATTTAAAAGTATGTACATTTGAAGTGGAGGCAGAGGTAAGTGGAGGTTTGGAAGTTTAAGGAGCAGAGGTAGAGAATCAATGTATAATGGTGTGTACACATTCCTACAGCAATCTTTACACCGTTTTAACTTTTACATTATGCATACTCTTCATAGAATTCCCTGTCCTGCTGTGCTGTATGGAGAAAGTTGGTTTAGAAGACAGCTGTGATTATACTGACTGTTGGGTGTAGCCCTGTTTTGAAAAGGATGAAAATATATTCCCTGTAGTAGGCAGGTAAAGATATTTCTTGATATAGACTGGCAAACATGATCTGATTATGTGTAATCAGTTAAAGTTTAAATCTATGATTGGATGAAACATCTAGAATAAAACTGGCCATAGAGAGTCAGATATTGTTCTTTCCTGAGTGACATTGGCACACACTTTGTACTTTCCATCCTTCCCTTTACTTAGAAAGAAGGATAATGCCATTTTCATGTGAAGATTTTCCAACAGAAAATCTACATGTCCAGAGGCACTCATTATCACACATTAAGGAGTTAACACACTGAATCACATGTGGCAATTAGGACATGCATATCCACTTTAAAAATGGGCCTTCGGAAAACATTGTTTATGGAGGGGCAAAGGATTACATGGATGCTGGCCCATTTAGAAGGATAGTGTAAAAAATAAATGACTGAACAGCTGACTAAGTTTAAACATACCTCTGCCTCTATTTCCAGCTGTCTCTTCTCCAGTAGTTTGGCCACCACCATGGCTCGATGTTTTCCAGAACGCTTGCTGCTAACAGCCCATTCACAGAGTAATGTGACCACAGCTTCATCACTGGGAGGCACCTGTACCAATACAAAACAATGCTGAAGTTGTAAGAAATCATCACTCTATCCATTTTCATTTAACCATTTTACAAAGAACATAGCAACATCAGAATATAATAACAATGCAGGTCAAGGAAGGGGTTATCATAATCTTCAGAGTAATGATAGTTGTAAGGGTAGAGCAGTTGGTTCCTTGTTCATATTAGAGATCATCTGGTGAATTTCTTTAAATACAGTAATAATAAAATATCATCTCTGTTATAGAGATCTTTTGAAGCTAAACTTATTATTACTGATAGCAGAAGTAGATATATGGGAGTTTAAAGAGGAGCAGATGTAGCGTTATGAACAGTACCAATTTCATTTAGAAAAGAGTATACCCCAAAGGCTTGTGCTCTGCAAAATTGAAATGTATTAAGGAGATCAAGGAGAGTGCTCAACTTTGTTGTGTTTATTATCAAAAACACAGCAATTTCATTTTTATGTTGAACAATCAAAAGTCACAAAACCAAATACAATATTTTTAGAGATGCTAGTGTGCGTTGTTGGTTGCCATGTGACATAGCAATGAATCCAATCTAGAGGAATTAACCAAACAGGCTGGAATGTTGCTTCCCATATATCTCTACTCTTGAACACTGGCATACAATATGTAGAGTTCCTCTGACATTTACTATATAATGAATGTGCATGTTGGATGGAAAAAAAAAAAAACCCCAGTCATTTAAGGGCTTGATCTAGGGCCAGCCTTAAGCGCTCCCTTAATAACAAACATGAATCTCGTTCACTTTTCTTGTAACTATTTAATACTGAATTTGATGAAGTTTGGATTTGTAAAGCAAACCTGTCATAACAGAAATATGATGGATGATATTGCTGACCTCCTTTTGAAAATGCTAATACATTAGCTGTTATTCCATCACTGAACCATCACTGACCCGGGACAAATCTGCAGTTTTAAAGTCTTGAAGCAATAGGCTCAGTAGAGGAAGCAGGAAACTGCTTCTATGTTTCTTTCATGACAGGTTTATTTTAAAGCTGCTTTAAGTCCCTGAAACTTGGTTATTTCTGTCAAAACTTCCTATGTTTCATTAGGCGAAGCGGCACTCACAAAGCAAAATGTGAGCTGCTAGTTTACAGCTAACAGAAAACATTCAGTAAATACTGTCATATGCAAACCACAATGCATGTCGGAGAAATATGTTGCGCAATGGTGTTGTTTTCCTACGAGTTCCAGACCTCAGTGTTTTCTCTAAACTATACATTAAAAATAGATAAAGGAAATTCCCTGCATGTAACATTGTACGCCCCAGTATCGTACAGAACAGTTTACACTGTGTTGACTAAATATACAAGCTGAATTCTCCACAATGAATACGCTTCGGCTCGACTGAGCCAAAATGACAGCCGAAGCGGGGAGAACGTCTCGCAACTGCAGAGCTTGGTCGGTTGACCAAAGTGCAGCCGTAGGCAGCTGATGTATGGCTGATTTTAGCCGATGTACAGCTAAAATCAGCTGTACTGAGCCGTAGTGAATAGCCAAACGTCGTTCTGCTCACTTCACTGTGGCTCGGTTATTCACTCGGCTGCCTCCGGCAGCTGAGTGAATAACCCAGTAAATATTTGAATGACATTGCATTTATTTACGTCAGCATTTCATGTTTGTGCAGTAAACGCAAATGTCATCCAGATCTTCCAACATCAATGTTGTGACCTGGGTATTGATAGCATCCCACTGGCGTAATCATATACAGTATGTGGCAGCATAGAGGTCTTAAAGCTGGGCTGCCTCATATACAGTATGTCTGAATGGGGCTCCGCTGTTCTGTGCTGAAAGCGCGCTCAGTGCCTGCTCCCAGCACACTGACTGAGCAGCCACAGATAGCTCATGGTCACCATAAATGATCGGGACCGGCTTCCGATAATGTGACCGCTGTGACAGCCAAACACAGCTGTCACATGATCAGGACCACCTTTATATATAACCTAATCCCGACACCCCATGCAGCTGCACAGCAGCAGACCATTTCTAATAGAGATGTACTACTTGCTGCAATCAGCCAGTAAAAAATCACTATAGCAGTGATCTGTTACTTCAGGGAGGTATTGGATAGAGCTAGAACAGCTCTGCCTGAGCCTCTAATGCCAGCTGCCAAAGCTCCCAAGGCAATATCCCCCCAGTACAGATCTCCCCCAACAGCACTAAATCCCCCCATAACAGTCAGCCTCCTTAGTACAGATCCCATCCCAGTACAGACCCCCCCTAAAAGCCCAGCCCCTCATTACAGACCACAAGTATAAATCCCACCTTCCAGCCAACTTTCTTAGTACAGAATACACAGAAATATAAAACCTTTGGCAGGAAAGGCAGCACTCTTAGCTTTAAGAGGCCCAGCCGACCCAGCCAGCTTTAAGAGACCTAGCCGACATACCGGGTTTAGGGTTTATACAGTACATATATTATATAAAGGATTTATACATCATTAACAATCCCTATAAGAACCACTTACTATAAAAGGCTTATCTTTGACGGTTAGCACATCACTGCATTAAAAATGAAAACTACCTTTAAAAGATTATTATATCTGATATGATTGTTTATTTATTGTATCTGTTGTATACAACTGGATAAACCAGTGCATTGTTATCCATGACTATATTACTACATGAATCTATGTTCCTCTACGCTGAATAAAAACACATTCAGGAAAACAATGATTGTATGAAATGATATGTGCCCAAATACAGAAACAAAAAACATCTCTCTAATGTTTTTCACAGTTTATGGACTTTTCCAATAATTGTTTTTGTCACTTTGCTGCTTTTCTGACTCTTAGATGTTTATACATACACACAGCAGAAGTATATGGAGGACCTAATGGACAATTTCTAACTTATATTATGAATTTGACCACTTCCCCTAAAACGTATTCTGAGAAAGAAAAAAAAAAGTTTGGGGATGGTAAAGAAGCGCCTGCAGAAACTTCGCCTGGACAGAAATATGTAGATCTTAAATGACATGACTCACAGTTAGGGTTGCCACCTTTTCTTCAAGCAAAACCCGAACACTCTAGTAGCCCCTATCTTAATTTTGGATGCTCCTGTCTGCCTGACATCTTGTGTCCGGGTTTCTGCTGCCATGAAACCCGGACAGAGCATTCAAAACCCGAACTGTCCGGGTGAATCCTGGAAAGGTGGCAACCCTACTCACAGTACAGTGCAATTTTGGCATTTAAAGCACAACTGTATCCATTAGATTAACTAATATAGGCTAACTCTGCCAAGCATGTGCACAAGGAAAGTAACTGGCGTATTAAAGTGACACTAAACTCAGGACTTACATCTTAAAAAGGATTTAAGTACCTGAAGGCCTGGTTCACACTGCTCAAAAAATATGCCCCTCCCCCCACCCCAAAAAAAATCCTATTAATTTCTATGAGCAAAACGCCTGTCCCCGGAAAAAAATTACAGTTCGTTTTGGCCCCATGGACTCAATAGAAAATGGTTTAGAATGCACGTTTGCTGTGTTTTTGCGCATGTTTGTGCGCATTGTGCGTCTGCCCATTAACATCAATGAGCTAGAATATGCTCACAAAAATGCGCAACTTGATTTATGCATAAACCAAGCGTAAAAACTGTGAACCCAGCCTAACTATTAACAAAAATGTATCTTATTTGTGTAACACTCAGCTGTAGATCCTCAAATAATTTGTGCTGACACTGTCCTTCCTTCTGGAGGGTGGCTACTTTTGTTCCCCATGGTGCCTGTGTGTTGTAAAGTAGCCACAGCTCAAAGCTCACTCTTTTGTTAGACTATAACTTCAATACAAATTGGCTAACTAAACATGAGATTGTAGTCCATCACTGGAGGGAGCTTGGATAGGTGGCTACTTTACAACGCACACAGGGACCATGGGGAACAAAAGAAGCCACCCTCCAGAAGGAAGGACAATGCCGCACCAATTCAGAGATGATTTGAGGATCTACAGCCGAGTGATACACAAATAAGATACATTTTTGTTAATAGTTAGGGTACTTGAATGCATTTTTAAGATTTAGATCTTGAGTTTAATGTCACTTTAAGGGTAATACATGTCCTCCTCAATAAACAGTAGTTATCTTGTGGGTTACTTCAATCCACGCAGCAACACGTCTAAACACGTGTCTTTGTAAAGTAGTATTTCAATAACAAGAATGTGAGAGGGCCCTTTCCATTCTAAAGAACAGATTAAACAAATAAACGTAGCATTGTTAAAAGGGAAATCAGTGTACTGAAGTCTATTTATAGTAATAACCAAAGGCAACGCAAGGGAAAATGTTAAAATCCCACAGCTTTTGCAAATAGAAGACAGCTGACAGCTGTGTTCACCATAAATTGTACACTATTCCAGTAACAGACCAGAAAAGCCTGATTATCTCATACTGCTCTATGCCTTTCTCTTTGCAGTAATTATGGTGCACCTTTGATATTATGTCTGTGGGAGTCTCAGAAGTGAAGGGCTCTCAGAAGTGGTATATTTAATGATGTAAGGATAACAGGTTATAATCATGCAAATTTTCACCCACCACAGCCAACAAGCAGGCTAGGTCACAGATGACCCCACAGAGGGAAACATGCTTCAATATACAGAAAGGAGTCAACATATAAGAAGTTGATCAGCTGCACTAGTCAAGTGAATTTTCATATAATAAGTACCACAAATGATGCTGCTCGAGGTGGACTCCTGGCAATCCACTATCCAGACTAAAGAGTCCATCTGCTACCCCAGAAAACACTAACCACAATAAAAGAAAACTGGATCCTCTTTTCTTTTTTTTAATAAACTTTATTGGCTTGTATGTTACTTTGGCATCATGTCTCATCACCCAACCCTAGCCTCTCCTCCACTAACCTTGTAAGAGGCTTAAAGTGACATTAAACCCTCAGTTTTTTTAACATAAAACAATACTGTAATGTGTACCTTACTGTAATCCATGGTTGTTTCCCTTCTCTTTGCTGCTCTTCCTTTTACATCTGTATCTCTTCTCATGCTGGACAGAACTTCTGTTTTGCAGCAGACTGCCTTGTCTCTGAAATGGATACATGATGTCTGTGTGAAGGTTCACAACCTGAGCCAGCACTACAGGAAGAGGCACTCAGCTGCAAAGGGAAGTTCTCCCCAAGCATGAGAAGAGATACAGATTTAAAGGGAAGAGCAGCAAAGATAAGGGAAACGAGCATGGATTACAGTAAGGCACACATTACAGTATTGTTTTATGTTAAAAAATCTGAGGGTTTAATGTCACTTTAATCATATGGTATGAAACATATTAGAGTAGGAAAGGCATGAAGTGTGATAGCAAATGTAACATACAGCCCAAAAAAATGTATTCAAGAAAAAAAGAGGATACAACGCATGTGCGGCTGTCTTCCACTGTTGAATTTGCTGAATTTTGTAGCTTGATTGAGCTCAGCTAGTTCACAGAGATTTTAAATGAAGATTCGTGAAGGATGTAATTAAGATTTTGTCTTTTGATGTTTCCTGACTGTATCTGATTTTTTTTACCTTCAAGTGAATATTCCTAAAACATGTTTTATGTGACGCTTAAAATAAAGTTGCTGCATGGTATAATGATGTGCCCTCTTTTTCTTCATAACTGTATTAAATATACCCAAGAAATTGGTAGTAGTGAGCAGGACCCATTCAGTCAGGAGTTTTGTAACCCTCTTGGAGCCAAATATTTCACAGGAAACAGTTAGTGGAAGTGCCATGATAATATACAGCAGTACCTACATATTATGTACACCAATAAAGTGAAAGATCTATCATAATGCAACAGTGTTACAAAGTTTTATTGTATTATAGAAAAAAACTGACTGTATTATTAGCAAACTTCTTAAAGCCCAACTCAATATTTTTTTAGTTTGCACAGAGTAGGCTTTTTGACTGTAGTCTATGACCTCACTGGGGAGATGGGAAAGCTCTGCAATGTTGACATAGACTGTATAGTCATGTTACTCTCTATAGTTTTCTGTATATGCTTAACCAAAATGTACATACGTATATGTAAAGCAGCCCTCAGAACCAACCTTTACCTAACTAAGTAATTTATTTAAAAAGCCTCACCTTGGGCACCATGGTTAAAACAGTTAAAGCCCCCATTGGCTCAATGCTACCTCCCGTCAAATATGCTTTTTTTCTACATCTCACAAATCTTTTTGTTTGAATCTAGAATTAGTACAGCTCCCATTGTACTAAAGGACCAATCATTGATGCAGGCGCTACAGGTCTCATATACTCCAGCACAGAGGCCGTATACTCTCTCTTCTCCTGGCCATTTATAAAATGAAGCCTGAGGCTGTGTGTTTTGTGAATGGCAAGGAGAAGAGGGAGGCAGAGACATTGCCACAGTACTGGGGTCTGTATGACCTTCAGTACTTACATCCAAGTGACACAGAAGTACAGCTGTGCTAATCATAGAATGTAAACATAATGATTTGTGGTATGTAGTAGAAAGAATACATGATGTAGAGGATGGCAAGGCTGGGTCTTTGAAGGCCGATATATCTCACCACTGTTTGGGTTTGGTCCTTTTAAGGGTCAATAGAGGGCTAATCTTCCTGCCACAGGAAGTAGTTTAAAAGTCAGCAACTCCAGAGGACTGTGGGTGTTATGAAGAGAAAGATGTCAGCTGTGGATAATGTGTGAGAGATCTGTGATGTTGCTAAAACTAATGGATTCATATTCCTGGAAAGGGATTTCACCAGGTTTGGGACTCTGTATAACAAGTCGGTGAGATAGATTTTTATTTCATTGATGTGCCGAAGATACGGACTTTGTTTTAAATTTTGGCTGAAGTTAAGGCTTCCATTTGTGTTTTTCACCTTTGATTGCCTTGAAAAGGAAAAAAATAAATTCTTGATAATGAAAAGACCCTGTGTGGGAGCTCTGTGAGCTCCCCAACTTTACAATGATGAGAGGTGGTTTTTACGGTAACGGGGTCTTCAACTGCTTTAACCATGGTAAACTTTTTGTGCCTGGATTGGGCTTTCAAATAAAGGAATTCATGGGTCTTCGCCGTAATAGAGTAGGCCTAGAAAGATGGGACCATTGAGGTTTAACTAAACATGTTATATAAAAAAGAACTCTACCGATACGCAGCACCTGTAAAAAAAAATCACAGCTAATCCTCTGTCTATTCATTTGCCTATACTCAGTGTAATCCAAAGTATTTATTTCCAAGCATGAATGGCATTTCTACTGATCAGGAGCAATGGCCTAGAGGTGAAAGTACTAAGAATATGCTGGAAGTAACGGTGAGTAACTACACATATTATTCACTTACCATCCTCTCCCCACATGCTTCACCCACTACATTTTCCATTTGAGGCAGAGTAATTATTTAATTGTATATAAGGTTTGAGGGACATGATGTTCCACACCAGTAAGAGAGAGGACAATTGAGTTACATTCATTTGTTGTACACATTTATAACCGATTATGAAATTACCTCCTGGCTGTCCTTATTTTGGTTTGTACAAAATATCTTATGATACAAGGTTTCCAAAGAGTTGCTGGAATCCAGTCTGTCAAAACAATGCCGATCCAAAACTTCTAATGTGTGCAAAACTCTGCTAATAGTGACACCTATAACCAAAATACAGAGAGTACACGTCATCAGGAAAACTGAGGTATTAAGCCCACATTATGTAAAGATTTCAAAACTAAGCTTTACTTTGTAAATTCTGTGTAGAGTACTACAAGGAGTAGAGAGGTGGTAAAGGTCAGTGGAGACGCTTACATAGCAAGGATACAAGTTCAATCATTCCGAGAATTTGTAAGGGAGTCAAAGCACGAATATGGTTTTAGGGTCTTTTTTTCCTGCATTGTATACACTGTCAAATGTATTGAACAGCGTTCCCTCTGAACATGGGATCAACACAAAAACATTTACTGTCTGCTATAAAATGTTTAATTAGAAGGGAAGCCATTACATATTTGACAAAAAGTTGCGCAAGTAGATAAGAACCGCACACCAGTGTTCTCAGCTACAGTGCTAAATATTAAGGGGCCCTGTTCTTCTCATTTCATATCACATGGCAGCTTATATAGAGCACACAAAAACAAGAGGAAGTGACACACTTGTGATGCAGTATATTTCACCTGCAGCTGACTCTTGGCACTTATCAAATGACCACCGGACTTCTACGGCTCGACCCCGTTGTTTGATTTGCTGTTCCACATCATAGATTTTGGCCCGCACCTAAATGAACAACACAAACACAAACAGCAATGCTTTCATTAATTTTGTTGTAGGCCAACCGGAAAAAAAACAGGACCCACAGGAGTCACTGTGTACTCTAGCTCACAATTCTGTAACATGACATACAAAACAACTAAAATGTATGCCCAGCCAAAACCTCTTGCTTAACTTTGGATACAGAAAAGAAGATTTAGAATCCCTGTCAGATTTCCCCTCACTTTTTGTTCTGCTTTACCAGACAGTATGTCAGGGGAAGGCTAGAATCCCTGTCAGATTTATATTTTTGTCTGTGTCCCTGTTGTACATTTTACATCACATCCTATCTGGTAAAACATTGTCAGCAGAACAGGAAGTGGGGGTAAATCCAGTGACGTGCCGTGACTTCTGTGCTGGGTGAGGCATCCCCCAGCCCGCCGAAGCTCCGCCCCGCCCTGCCAAAGCCCCGCCCATCCTGCCAAAGCTACGCCCCTGTCCAGCTGATCTCCGCCCCCATCCCACCAAAGTCCCGCCCCCAGCTCGGTAACCAAGTTGTGTGGGGAGGAGACAGGGAGGAGCCTCCCTGTCCCTCACTTGCTTGTCACTGGTGAGGCATCAAGATCGATTTCCTCACTGGGTTTTGTTTTTATTGGATAGCTTGGACCAATGGCGCTTTGCTATTGGTCCAAGCCATCCACAGAGCTCACGCCTCTAACACCGAGTAGTAATTAACAGGCAGCGCCCCGTCCATGACAGGTTACACAGTGGGGAGGCTTTCCCTGCTGTGTAACCTGTAACAAGCTGTTCTGAATGGAGAAAAAGCTGTCAGCATCAGACTTGAAGCTGACACCTTTTTCCTCCATAATACTAGATGAGGCTCCGCCTCACCTGCCTCCCCTGGCCGCATGTCCCTGGGTAAATCTCTCTAAAGAACCCAGATAGCAGCAAAAACCCAATATGAGTTCTGATCCTTCCCTACTCTTATCTAAGTTCGAAGTTTTTGGCTTGACATACACTTTAAGAAGTCTTGTCGGAGTGGAGGTGCCATTACAATATACAGCAGTACCTACATTATTATCAAATTATGTCTACCAATAAAGTGAAAGATCTATCATAATGAAACAGTGTTACAAAGTTTTATTTTACTATAGAAAAAAAAAACTAACAGCATTATTATTAAGCTTCTTAGAGCCCAACTCAATATTTTTTTATTTTGAATAGAGTAGGGGTAGTAATAGAACCCCTGTTAGGTCTTTACCATAGTTCTTGTCTGAGTGCCTTGAATTGTAGTCGGAAGTATTGGAACCTTTGTCAGTTGTTTTGTTTCTTTCTTTTTTTTTTGCTGTCGGTGACCTAGTTAGGGAGATTTATCTTCTCGATTTTGAGACTCTCCGCACATGTACCCCTCCTGAGACCTTTCGCACGTCTCCCCCTCCTGAGACCCTCCGCGTGTCTCTCCCTCCTGAGACCCTCTGCCCGAGATATTGGGGCGGCACCCCAGAGCAGAGCAGCAGCACAGAGTAAGTACAGGTATGATGCAGCAAAATTATACCTGAACTCCAGAGCTACTTTAGAAATATTGCCTGCTGTTTCTGTCCTGTGCTTTATTTTGCATTGCTGTATAATATATTACTGGAATTTGTAGTCCTCTATGGCTGATGGTATTCTGTATTGCTGTATAATGTTTTGACGTGATTTTTAGCCGGCTGCCACTCTGCATTGCTATATAATGTAATGTACTGCTGAGATTTGAAGTCCCTCTACAGCTTGGAGTCAGTGGCAGAACTACCAGGGTTGCATCCATTGCAGCTGGGAACGAGCCCTGGTACTCCACCACTGTCTTAAAATCATTAGTCTGTATTGTTTTAGAAAAACTGTCACATGACACACACCAAAAAAAGGTATAAGTAATTGGTATAGGCAAGGGAGGGACCTGCGAGCAGCAGTCTGTTCTTCCCTATGGGAGGACGCGGACATACGCATGCCCAAACAGCACATCCGTGCGGGTCCGGATGGATCCTGTCTGTGTCCGAGTACGGACACCCGGACCTGCATAGATGTGCAGTTCCGGTGTGCGTATGACAGTGTACGGCCGTGTCCTCCCATAGGGAAGAACAGGATACTGCACGCAGAACCTGTTCCTCCCAGGAACGGCGCGATACAAGCATGCACGGACGCGTACGGCCTGACTTAGGCTGGGTTCACACCTAGGCGTATTGAATATGCGCGTTTGTCACGCAGTTCGCGTTTTTACCGCGATTCGCGGTAAAAAACCTGCGCGACAAACGCGCGTTTCCGTGGGCAACTTGGCTGTATTCCAATGGAAACGCGAGACCAAAACGCCCCAAAGAAGTACATGTACTTCTTTGGGCGTAGGCCATTTTGTATCGCGTTCGGACGGGCGGAAATACGGCAAGGTGTGAACCAGACCCATTGAATACAATGGGATTTAGATTTTTGAGCGTTTTGTAGAGCGTTCGTCGAGCGTTGAACGCGCTACAAAACGTTCAGGTGTGAACCAGGCCTTAACGCTGTGTGAATGAGGCCTTAAAGTTCTTACCTAATTTCTTGTTGTATGTTTTTCTTTTTTTCAGAGAGTCAAGTGAGAGACATTCTTTTGGACAAGCTTTCAGACTTTCAGGTTGTGCTCAAAAGGAATGATAATGATTGATCTCTGGTAATATTGCTCTTGTCTTCTCTCCCTCATTTTTAAAATACACATTTAATAAACAAGGAACTATTGAAAAAACCTCCATGTGTCCAAGAATGATTAGTGTCCCATTTCACTTCACACAGCTGAACATACCTGTTGATTAAAAGGTGAGCTGCCACCAGGCATAGGAAGGCTGGATGGGGGAACCTGAAGAAGATCCAGAGGAGAACCTGGATTTGTGTTTTTACTTTCGTTTGTGGAATAGTTCCACACCAAGGCACTTGGACAGCAGAGGGTGATAGTCTGCAGGAATAAAAATCAGCAAAGAGAATACACAGTTATCATTGTCTTCAAAATATTTAGCAATAAATGCAGTTGATACACTTAAAGGATATCTATAGTCAAAAACTAAAAAATAAATAGGTATTTCTATAATTTCCATAGGTTCTATCCCACTCCTAATAACCATATCAATCTAGAGGTTTGTAAACGTACTTATTGAAGATGCCCATATCATGCACTTCCTTATTACAGTCACACAATTTCACTCAGCCCTGTGAATATGCACTTCCTTGTATCACAACTCTAACTATGCCTGCCATCTTAACTACAACTCCTACAATGTAACATCGATATTTGCCAGAAGCAATGCATGATGGGATATGTAGTTTCAAGAAATTGAGATTGCATCACATCAAGCAGCAGGGAAGTGAGATGCAAAGCACACTGGGAATCCAGGAAGTTGTTGAAAGTGATGGGCAGACAGAAGGCAGCACTCACTACATAAAAGGGATTTTTTTCTAGTAAGCTTTGATTGTATTATCAAAAACAACTCTAGTATGTATTCCTGTTACAATGCTGATATTATAACAGGATAGTATATGATGTCTCAGCATACAGCCCAATTCAAGTTCATCATTACAGGCACAGCCAGCAATTAGTAACATTGTAGGTGGAAGGAGGAAGCTGCCATTGTGATTCCGAAGTAAGTGGCTGGGATGAAGGTTAGTGTCTAAAGAGGGCTAGGGTATGTTTGTCTACATAAAAGGTAAACACGGTAAACATGTACTGTAAAATTGGAGACTACTATTGTTGAGCTCTCTCTGAAAAGGCTAGATGGCTGACTGCCTTTGCTTACAATATTTGAAGCCACTGACCTTTGACAAGTATGCAGCCAGTGAAATCAGAATGTGTGATCGACACAATTGTTCCAGATTGGTGACTTGTAAATCGTGGAAATCTGACAGCCTGGAAACTAGCATTTTCAGAAAGAAGCATAGCAAACTACACATTGCCCTCGCTACAGGTTTTGTTTAACAGCTTCAGGGCGACAATAGGCATATAAATTGTGGCAAACTAAATCGGTTTTTCCAAGATCACGGCTGCTGCAGTCAGGGCCGTCTTTAGCGCAGGGCAAAGAGGGCCCTTGCCCCGGACCCAATAAAGGTTGTGGGGCCCGAACATGACCCACCCGCCTGCAGCCACGCTCCACACGCCGCAGCTCCTCCCTGCCTCACGCTTTTAGACCCACCCACCAGCATCCACGCTCCACACGCCGCAGCTCCTCCCTGCCTCACGCTTGCTTGCTTCTACGCTCGACGAACGCTCTACAAAATGCTCAAAAATATCAATCCCATTGTATTCAATGGTCTCGTTCCCACCTTGGCGCATTTACTTGTATGCTGACAGGATGGATCCTGTCTGCATCCATGCCGGAACACAGGCACCTGTACGGACCTGCACTTGAGGTGAGCCCAGGGGGGGCGTACGGCCGTGTAGTCCCATAGAGAAGGACGGGGGCTGCCTACTAATCACACGCAGCACCTGTCCTTCCCGGGACCTGCTTGGTACGGCCCTGCACGCAGCACAGAGATGTACGTGCGGGCCAATTACAGTGTGAATGAGGTAAAATAAAGATTTTACTGCAGTCAGATTATAACGCGTATGATGAGTTTTGGACAGTTGTCACCTGAATAAGTGTCTCCATTAGAAAATGTCTCTTCTATATGTTTTCTGATGACATCTTAAAAATTAGGATTTATTTTCAGTTATGGTGACACAGATATCAATGAACACCTAACAGGGGTTCTAACCCCCATGCTGCTCTGTGCAAAACAAAACAAAAATAATTAGGCTATAGATACAAATCTCCCTAAAACTAAGATTTCAGTATCATGCGTGTGGTAGCAGATTGATCCAACCATTGCCTTCTTATTATTCTCTCAAGAATTTATTTGAGAAGATCATAGGTTCCCACTCTGTTGTGGCCATTGTGAAGTATCACTCCATTTATTATAACACATGATTAGTGCAATTATTTAGTGGCAAGAATGTCACAACCTCATAATGTTCTCAAAGATAGAAACCACAACAGGAAGATTTAGCTACAGAAGTCTAAGACAGTTCAGTAGATCATTTTTGATTCAAAATTAAAGTGACACTAAAATCAGGAGTTAAACCTTAAGAATACATTCAAGTACCTTAACCTATTGACAAAAATGTATCTTATTTGTGTATCACTCAGTTGTAGGTCCTCAAATCATCTCTGAATTCATGCTGACACTTTCCTTCCTTCCAGAGGGTGGCTACTTTTGTTCCCCATTGTCCCTGTGTGTGTTGTAAAGTAGCCACCACTTCAAGCTAGAAGTAGTAAACTAGATGTGAGATTGTAGTCCATCACGGGAGCGAGCTTGGAGCGGTGGCTACTTTATAACACACACAGGGACCATGGGGAACAAAAGTAGCCATATTCCAGAAGGAAGGACAGTGTCAACACCAATTCAGAGATGATTTGTGGATCTACAGGTCTAAGGTCAGGTATTAAGGTCTGGGCGTTTTTTACCCTAATGCATACTCTGCATTAGGGTAAAAACTGCCCAGAAACTTTTTCTCCGCTAGTCCCCCCCCCCCAGTCACCCTCCGTCACCCCCCACCCTTACCTGTCAGCAACGCTCGTCCCTGCCGCCGGTCCCGAAGTGATCCTCTGTTCCCTGTAGTTCCTGGTTGCAGGGGGAGGATACTGATGGCAAAGGAGCCATAGGTTCCTTCTACCATTAAAGTGTTGGTCAGAAAGAAGGGGCGTGGCCTGCCACAGGGCTGTGTGTGTCTATGGACGCACACAGCCACTGTGGGCACGAGCGTGCACGGGTGTTTCCGTTAGCCGATGGAGGCACCTGTGCAGGGGGTGGGGGAAGAGCGCTGCGGGGACTCACGAGAAAACTAGGAATTTTAAACTTTTAAAGAAAAAGAACAACATCTTTAGGCAAAGGTGGGTGTCCTAATAGTAACTATTTAAAAAAGAAGGTTTAATATTGCTTTAAGGTACTTGAATTCCTTTTTTAAGATTTAACTCCTGAGTGTTACTTTAACATAACACTTCTGGGTGGATGTAACCAATGCTCTTGTGAAAGCTTCATACCTGTAACATGCAGCTAAGCCCATATACCAATGGACGGTGTTGCGGACATAACTGGAAATCAACACAAGGCAAATGAACGGAGGGCACCACGGTTCCTGAAGAACTGGCATTTGGAGCTGCTATGGGAGGATTGCCTGGTGCCATCATTATAATCGGTGTGTGTACAGCAAGCTGGCTGGCACAATCGCTCAGCAAAGCCGAAAGACGTCTGGAGCAGAAGTAGGCAAGGCGTCGGGACAGATACGCTGATTGTACAAATTCCTCAGAATGCTGGAAAAGAAAAGCCAGAGAATATTTACCTCTAACAGTGCTTGGTCTTTACTAAATGACAGAATCCTTTTAGATTTATGATGCAGAGTTTTCAAACCTCAGAAAATAAGTTGTAAATCTGCAAAACATTGGCACAAAAATGTGTGTATTTACTTTTTTGGCCAACAAGGTTGCTTGTGTCAATATTTTTTGACCAGCTTGTTGCTAATGTAGGGAAGTCCTGAAACCTCAATTTTTATTACACAATGTGGACACAATGCAGGAAACATCTGTAATGAAATATTTGAGAAAGAAAATTCAACTGTGAGCAACTGAATGCTGGAGGGTAGCAAGCTATATGGTGTGATGCTTGCAAGGGATGCATCCAATTTGAGTATCACTTGTTCATACCTCTCAACTGTGCCTCATTTCTTACCAAGTTCAATAATCAAAAGAAACCCATCGCACACCTGACCGGATAATACCCTCAAGTATCGGGTGGGTGCCAAGCGACCACGGATGCCGCCGCAAATCAGTAAAAATAAGAAAAAGTCACTGGCACTCTAGCTCAAGTTCAGTCAATATTTTATTGACCTCTGTGGTGTCACAACATGGCAATAACATGACCAAAACAAGCCCTTAATCCTTGCAGTGTGCGGGTAGCCTCATTGCAAGGGTTAGTTTTTTTACATCCCCGGCTCTGTTCTTTAATGGTCCATATAACTGGGGGTGTGGCAGGGGCGTGTTCATTGCCTAAATAAATCGCACTGGAAGGTGTCCCTCTTTTTCATTTTAGAAAGTTTGGGGGTACACTTGTGATAACTGAAAGAGGTCTTATAGGGATCCCCTAGTGAGTGGTACAAAGCACATTCAATCCCTGAAATGCTCATTAACATGCACAGAGATTTTCCGACTTGCTGAATAATCTTTAGGTGAACAAGTGTTTATGGGTTTCTTTCTATGTAGGTAAAGAAACAGGTATTGCCTACTATATGTATAGTAACATCTTTTGGCCACATGCAAAAGAACACCATGGTGACTCACAGCTGCCCTGCAAATGTGTTTGAGGATGGCACAGATATATTCCTTTCCTGCACCTAACTTGTGGTGAGACATGCTGAACCCAACTGTATTACTAATAAACAAAAAAAATCCTAAACTGTGTGGGGTTTTTTATGCTGCAACTACTACCTCTGTACTTCAAACAAAAATAAGTCAATATCATTTGAGAGGACACAGATGTCTCACCCCATCTGAACTACTAAACAAGGTTTACAGCCAGAGAGATTGTTTGGAAATAAATCAGGCAATTACTGTTTTTACCGAATATTTAAAGGTCAAAGGTAACAAGAAAACAAATTGGATAAAATGATGGAGCCCCAGAACCTCTGTACATGCTTTCATGAAGACAGATAGGAGTTCCGGAGAATGTGAGAAGCTCTGGAGAAGTCCTGGAGGTGACGAGGGAGCTAGAGAGCAGGAGGTCTAGGGAGGAACAGAGAGGATGGCTCGAGTGATATTTTAAGGGCCCAGTCACACCATATCCGGTGCGATTTGAGCCCAGAATGCACTGGATCGCATAGATCATGCTGGGCCGCGTTCTGGAGCGGGAGGGGGTGTCTCAGTGCCATTCATGTCAATGGCATCGCAGACACGCTCCCCGCCCAAAGTGCTATCACCCACCATGGAACGCGAGGTACCGAAATGCCCTCCGTTCTGGTGCAGTGCCATCTGAAAAGCTGCTGCATGCACTATTTTTTCAGATCGCACTGCACCGGAACTAAGGGCATTCCTGTACCTCATGTTCCGGTGTGGGCCATCGCCGGCACTGGAACACACAGTGCGGCAATGCTGTGCATTCCAGTGCAGTGCAATTCCGAAGTATACTTTATGTTTGTAAAACTGCATTTCAGTATTTTATTTTAAATTAGGGATGATATGTATTTCATTTTTTTATCCGATTTAATTACTCATTAAAAAAAAATCGGCCAACTAATCGATTATGAAAATAATCATTAGTTGCAGCCCTACTGCCAATATCTGGAAACCAGAATCATAGCTTTCAGTGCCAGTCAGTACCTTTCAGTACACAGAAGTAAAACTATAAATATTGCTCATTTATCAATCTGTCATTCCTTTCTACATGTCTTTATTGCTGCACAGTGAGTAATTGATTTATGATTGTCAAAGCTGCTGCATGAAAGCATTGTTCTGACACCTACACAGTTTTTTTGCACTGTACATCTCATCTGATCTTGGAAGCTGAGATATAGTTCTAGAGAGAGTGGATATACAGTATACAGAAGCTTGTGTTATGGTGGTAGGGTTAACAGAAAGTCACATCAATCCACTGCCTTGCAACAGCAGCCAATGGTAATGGATTATGGCAGTAAAATAATAAAAAAAAATTAAAAGGCCTGAGACAAAACTCCCTTCCACTGCCCTTCTTGACTGGATTTTTGTCTTGAACTTATATTTTAGGTAAAGTCACAAATGAAAGTTTGGCAACACCAAAAAAAGCAAAAGACTCACTGCTCCAATTCCACCAGACTGCAGATCAATATAGACATCGGGTGCAGGCTGCAGTGTGCTCCACCTTGTCAAACAATATCTCTCTCAAAATTCCATGCAAAGTTCAAAATACAAGGTTATACACCACCATAGTATCTCTCCCACTCCAACGCCACTCATGCGTTTCACCACCTGGGCTTAATCATAGATTATCCTCTGATTCAGCCCGGGTGGTGAAATGCGTGAGAGGCATTGGAGTGGAAGAGATACTATGGTGGTGTATACCTTGTATTTTGAACTTTGCATGGAATTTACAACAATAAAGTTGGATTTTTATGGACCTCGGTTTCATGCAGCTGATTGGAGAGAGATGGAGCAGGCTTACACTATGCACCCCAGCACAGGAAGCTTTGCCCTATCCCTGATGAAATCTAATGCAGTACAGTCCCTTATGCAAGCATACAATACAGAGCAACTACAGCCAACAATAGAGCCATAACTGTTCCAGAGCATGCAACTATTGTGTAACCTAGCAGGACAATGTACTCAGCATATGGAAGAAATTTGCTTCAGTGATCACCACTTAGGCATTAAAGTGACTGATATCCTCTATAAGCAGTGAATGATAAAACAAATGAATAAACAAACATGCAAGTGACCATAAAGCAGGGCAGGGACCCTATGTGCAATAGCAACCACAGCAAAATCAGACATACAGTATCCAATTTAGACAAAAATCTATTTACATACATGTAGCACCTACTACATATAAACTACAGTGGAGATAAAAATTAGCAGTAAACTTTCATAGCATCATACTAAATGCTTCTTTTGTCTTTTGACTGTGACCTGCAGCAGGACATTGGGGTATTACAATGTACACATTATAAGAAGCTGAACAGTTACAAAAATCCAATGGGAGAAGTATCATTGCTAAATACAGCTGCAATGTGAGCAATTTCAGGTTTCTTATCTGAAACACACAGAAAAAGAAAACAGGCCCAAAGACTCGTTTTCATGTCTTCCAATTGCTACTTCCAAACACAAAAGGCAGTACAATGAAACCGCTTTTCACTATTCAAAGGTATCAGTAGGGATAAGGTTCAGGTTTGCCACATGGTCATTCAATGTTTGTGGCACCGGTGAATTTATTCTGTAATTTGCCAATAGTTGTTATACAGAGCTATACCGTGCTATATTGTGCACATTAATTGACCCTTAATGGTCTTAAATATATTTATACGTTTTGATTTATAGATGCTCAAGTTCATAGAAAATATATGTATGTATATATAGTGAGTTCTTTAAATTCAATCCGTGCTCTCCTTTCTGTGTAATTTGTCTCTTTTTTTCCACATGCGCCAGATACTCAAGTTAGTATAAGAGCTCCTGCTCGTTCTGCTGTATTAAAGTCAAGCTAAGTGTAAAAATGTATAAAAAAAACAATTACACATCCAAATTATGTGATACCAGAATATGGTTTCGCTGACAGTGTCCATTGATATCGTATTGTTGCATCACACCACATCAAACTTAAAGGCATCTCCCAAGCATGTAATTTAAATGATTTATGTTTTTTCCATGCCACCTTTAAATCTTCATTAAAAGGATGCTCTAGCTGCTGTTTTTATTAAAAAAATGTTTTGCTTTGTTGAACGTCCTCCATGGCCGTGCCCAGTGCTCAATGACCTTTTTTGACAACAGTTTGCCTATAAGCTTAATAATAGGCAAAAACTAACAGCAGGATTTGCCCACTACTAGTTTTAAGTAGGTTGATGTTTTTGTCAAAATATCTATGTATCTCATAACACAATATAGTAACACACCATACTAGATACACTGTATAGGAGAACTGGTGCTGTGCTAAACAGTGTGTGTGTGTGTGTGTAAGGGGGGCATTTTTCAAGCAAATTAGCAATACTATTAGCCACTAATCAGGCTACCTTTCACTTAACAAAATCTGTGTTACCGTTTTTACACGTACCCGTGTGCTCTGCGCCTGCAACCTTGGACACCCAGCTGCACTGCAACAGATTTGTACAGATCTGTGACAGATCTTTACTCTAAGGCTGGGTTCACACCTAGGCGTATTACGCATGCACGTCTGTCGCGCGACCGTCACGCGGTTTTTTTACAGCGATTCGCGGATCGGGATCGCGTGACCGTCGCGCGATTCCGAAGGCTACTTGGCTGTATGCCAATCGAAAACGCCCTCCAAAACGGCCCAAAGAAGTACATGTACTTGTTTGGGCGTCAGCCGTTTTGTAGGGCGTTCAGACGGGCGGAAATACGGAAAGGTGTGAACCATACCCATAGAAAACAATGGGATTTTCATGGTTGTACGTTTTGTAGAGCGTTCATAGAGCGTTGAACGCCCGACAAAACGGAAAGGTGTGAACGGGGCCTAACAGACAAACAATTGGTCTGTCAGGATCAGGTTTTATTCTGTCACAGTGGTACTGCAGAGCAGCTGAAAGAGGAATTTATTACTCGAGCTGTAACCTTGTTTTAAATCTGTCCTATAATCTGTCTCACTGCCCCTGTTTAGCATTGCCTGGATGCAAGTCAGAATTGATTACTATCCCCCTGTGTTTTGTACTATGCTGGAAAAACTGCTTTCCAACATTGTGGACACCTTAAGCTGCGTATAGCAGACAGGCTCAATTTGTGTTTTACACAGAGTGAAGCAGTGGCACAAATAAACATAAAGAAATGGGTTCTCATGCTGGAGCTAAGCTCTGTCAGCACAATGAAGGAGATATGTGAGTTAGGGTTGCCACCTTTTCTTCAAGCGAAACCCGAACACACTAGCGTCACGCTGACATTTTTTGGGAGAATAAGTCGTAGTTTATTCATATGTAAATAGCTCCGCCAATTCATATATAAATATCACAGTTGTGACTATTTTCAGTGGGGGGTCAGTAGCCTCTATCTTCATTTTGGTTACCCCTGTCTGCCTGACATCTTGTGTCCGGGTTTCTTCTGCCATGAAACCTGGACACAGAACTCAAAACCCGAACTGTCCAGGTGAATCCTGGACAGGTGGCAACCCTAGTGTTGACTTAGGCCTCTTCCACACAGGTGGCCGTTCCAATCAGCAGGGGATCTGTGTACAGGTCCCCTGCTGAATGTGAGCAGAACGGAATGGATGTTGTGACCCATGTTAGGCCTATGGGCAGTCAGATGTAAGCAGCCGTGTCAATTTACATCCAATTACCTCAGATCCATAACGTTTAGGTCTGAAAAAATGGAAAAGGGGAGAAAGCAGGGATGCACTGCCATTTCGGCCGAAATATGGCACTTTCGGCATTTTGCCAAAAGTGCAATTTTTAGACGATATTTTTCGGCTGCCGAAATTTTGGTGCATCCCTAATAAATTAGTACTATTTTGCAATGGGAGGATTGGGAGTCCTGGAGCCAGGAGGGGCTGGAAGGGGTGGAGTTTCGATCTCAGGAGAGAGGTGTGCCGAGAGGTGAGGTAAACTGATTTTCATGGGGAACAGATTTTGTACTCCTACTCGTACTCATGAAAATGCCCCGATACTAAGTGCCAACACCAGCGCTTTAAATTTTTAAACACAAGTGGCTGCTGTAAGGTCCGGCATTTGCTGGGGACCTTACAGCAGCCTTCTGGGGACCTTGCAGCACTGCTTACAGCACCGTCCGTATATCTCCTCCTTTCTGTGGAACCATACCCCCCACACCCGCCCGCAAGACCATCTGGACACGTGGTAAATCCCGCACAGCCCCCCTGAGATCCTGCACAGCCCCACTGAGAGCCTTCACAGCCACCTGAGAACTCGCACAGCCCACCTGAGAGTGCACGCTGTATCCAGCGACTGACAGGTTACACAAAATGACTTAAAAAGGAAGGGGTGGGCAAATTTAGATTGGGGGTGCCTGAATTTATCCTTGCCTAGGGCAGCACAAAACCAAAACACACCACTGGTGTTACAGTTTTGAATTTAATTCAATGCCATGTCACATATCTTTTATAACATGCCAAATAGACAGGAAACTACCATAAAGCTTGTATAGTCTCTGTAATGTCTAGAAACCAAAGCAGAAAGGCCCATTAATTCGGCACTTGGTCTTGTGGTTACATCAGGCAGGGCAGACAGCTAGTGGCTGTGTGTGTTTATTATATTAGGTGGTTGTTCTACAGAATTTATCAAACATCTGCATGAACACGTGACTAGAAGAGGCAGGCACAGAGTGGCCATTGGGCATACACAGCACTTGTGCGGTGGACTGACCCGAGCTGGGCCAGGCCTGTCATGGGTCACCCCGTCTCTCAGCTCGCCACACGCCACCCACCACGACCTCACCAACTGCTTGCAGGGAAAAAGGCTTTCAACTCACCTCCGTCCTGTGCCCCGGCCGCACCCCCTCCGTCCTGTGCCTGCATGTAGATTCAACACATGCAGGCCAGCTTGTCGGCTCAGCAGGTTCCATGCTGTCCCAGCGGGCACGGCGTGGCCCTGCTCCCCGCATTGCTCTTACAATGGGGAAAAAGGCAGAACGTAAAGGAGCTTGTTGCAAGGCAACCCAAAACTAAAGATCAAGTTGCCCGATCTCAGGATCACGCTTCAGCTTAGGAGTTAAAGCAGTGTGCTGGAAGCCGCTGGATCACCGACTGGCCGGACGGATTACAGGGAAGCGGGACGCTGACAATGATTACTGTTGTAGTGACAATCTGCAGGACACTATTTACAGTAATAATCTGCTGGGCACTGTTGTAGTAGTCCTGAAGTGATCCAACGCTGCCATCATGGAATCATCTGAATTCCTGAAATAGAAAAAGGCTTTTGTACTTACCAGTGGCTAGCCCGACACCACAATTGTGCTTCTGTGTATAGCTCCACCCACAGTTTGTGATGGGGCGGGGCCTGCTAGGAGTCATGTGATTGGGCTGCTCAGTCTAAAATGCCTAGGCCTATTTATTGTCCCATTCTGGGCCTTAGAAGAGGTGATCTTTCTAGGGCCACACAAACCATGATTTTTTGGTCAAGCATATCTACCTAAAATAACAGTGATATCAAGTTTTACACACAAGGTGGGATACCATCAGACTAAGGGAATCAAGTAATTGGTCATGTGCTATCCATATGAAAGCTATTTATTTTGCCATACCCCTAATATATCAACAAACCCCTTTTAGATTTTAAGCCCCCAGGGGCAGGGCCCTCCTTACCATCTTGTTTTGAAATTGTATTGTGATTGTAATGTCTTCCTTATATTGTAAAGCGCTGCGCAAACTGTTGGCGCTATATAAATCCTATGTAATAATAATAATAATAATAACACAAGTAATTTACTCCATTCTGATACACGTTAATAAAGATATACATAAGATTCAGTGACAAAGATGTACGGGCTAGAATTTGCATAAGTAAAATGTCAATAAATACCTGTAAGATGAGAGGCAACAAGATTTTTAGAAGTTCATCGTCAAGTGGGCATACTTTTTCCAAAACATCTAACATCCAGGTCAAATATTCATGTCGTTCCAATAAACCTTCCTGCAATAAAAGTACATATAGTTAATAAACATCCAATATTGATAATATAATTCTGTATTAGCAGAACAATAACAAATCAATCTCCAGTGCCACCATGTGGTTATTTTGAGATCTACAGTCTAAGAAGTAGGACAGGGGCAGGCAACCACGGCACAGCTGTGGTGAAACTACAAATCCCATAAGGCTTCTGCCTCTGGTAGTCATGCCTGTGGCTGTCAGAGTCTTGCAATGCCTCATGGGACTTGTAGTTCCACAACAACTGACGAGGTTGCCTAACCCTTTGCTAGGATAATGATCCTTATTTTAAAAAAACGACAGTTGTTTTCAGCTGGGATTTGGAAATTACAGTCACATGGCTAAAATAAAGATCCTTGTGTTTAAAGTTTTATGAATTAAGCTTATTGTATTTTCCAATGCTGTATTATTTAATAGTATAAGGTAAAACAAGCAATTTGAAATGTAAACATGCTGTTGTGGTGATTAGGAGCCCTTTCAGACGGGTATTCCGATCAGATCCACCTTTTTCAAGTGGATCTGTCCGGTAGCCCGATGTATGTCTATGGGCAGCCGGATCTAAATTGACGTGTGTCCATTTACACTTGATTACCCCTGACTCTGGCCAGGTCCGAAAAAAACAAATAAAACAGAGTTTGGCAGACCTGGTCTTGGTGGATCGGGGGTAATCTGACGTAAACAGACACAGTTGTCCATTTACATCCAACGCCCCATAGAACAATCATGGGTCGGGTAATTTCAGTTTTGTCCTCCATAACAAGATGGAGGAAAAAACTGGACGGACATGAATGTCATAACGGTGACATCCATTCCAAACTGCTCCAATCAGTAGGGGGATCTGTGCACTGATCTGCTGTTGATCAGAACTGAAGGTGCCAGTGTGCCAGTGTGAAAGGGGCCTTAAGCTGGCCATACACGACTCAAATTCCAATACATCATCAACCACCTTGGCAAACTTTGATAGAAAAATAAAATGAGCAGAACAGAAAAATGTCAGCTGAACAGTGACTGCACCCAAGCAGTTGCAGTTACTGTCTGGGTATTCTGACAGCCAGGCCCGGATTTCCCACAAGGCCACCGAGGCACGGCCTCGGGGTGGCAGAGCGACTCGGGGCGGCAGTGGTGACCTTGTGGGGAAGTTGCGGGCGCTGGTGTAAGGTGTCCCGGCGGTGGACCGTAGTGTGCGGCCGCCGGCCAATCACGTCGCGGCGGGCCGCAACTCCTCCCCCCAGCTTTCAGATATAGGGCGCGAGGTATGAATACACCGGCGTCAATCCACATTAACAGGACGCCGGTGGATTCATACTAGGGTTACACAGATACCAAGTACAGTACTCGGTACGAGTACATGTACCGATACTTTTGAGCTCCAAGACAAGACTAGAGGGGGACGTATTGTGGAACCTTGCCTTGGGGCGGCAGGGAGAGTAAATCCGGCCCTGCTGACAGCTGCAAGTCAGTCAGTGGTGGCTCCGAGGTGGGAACACTGGAGGTTACAGCTCAAGCTGTCAGTGGTGGCTGTGAGGTGAGCTGAGTGACAAAATCACTTTAAATCTGTTCATGTAAAAGGAGTTTAAAATAGGGCTGCGGAAAATAACGATTAATCCTCCCCCCTAACCCCACCTCCGCAGATGGGGGGGGGAGAGGGCACCTCCCTGAAATGAGAGGGACACCTCCCTGAAATTGCTTATTTCAGGTTGGGATCCCTGGTATTGGTCTATACACATACAGCACAGAAATGAAGTAATAAAATGAACTAGGATCCCACTAATCCAGCACGTTATTATTCTGAGTTGCCCCACTCAAGCGGCGGCCATATTGAGTGGGGCACGTGAGATTAATAACGTGCTGGATTAGTGTGATCCTAGTTCATTTTATTACTTCATTGCTGTGCTGTATGTGTATAGGCCAATGTAGTTGGATCTGTATGTGCGTTATAATTAATCGAAATTAATCGATTTTAAAACATTTCGATTAATCGAACAGGAAAATTTTAATCATTACCAACCCTAGTTTAAAACATCAGGATGTGAAGCATTTCCGATGCAGGCTGGTGCCATGGGCCCTGGTTGAACACCACCAGGTACTAAGGACAGGAATTGCAATACCTTGGTGCAAAACCCTGGATTGCTCGGACAAGCACATGCTTGCCATGCCCCAGTTAGCCCTGATAAGCCCCAAAAAATGTTTTTTAGGAAACAAATCTGATAGAAAGATAAACAGGGGTTTTTGCCAACATCTTATATTCTTAAATTCGGCAGCATTATCCCTATAAATACACTGTTTTTGCGGGGATCAGGGGTACAGGCTGCCTAAGGTAAGATGTCTGGGTGCTGTAAAGTACCACCAAAAGAGTAAGAGGCCTGTTTGTTCTCATCCTAGTTCCTTTATATAACATGTACACAGACTTATGTTAATGTTTGCGTGGTGGCAGGGTAAATGGAAGCATGTACTTGGAGAACAAAGAGCCAAACCATAAGTCAGAAACCAATGTAATCACTTCCAATTGGCTCAATAGTATAAAACAAATCCACCATGGGTGATTTTAAAGCTTTAGCACTCCAAAATACTTGAGAGTATAGTATCAAAAAGATTAGAAGTGTAGAGAAAGGAAGTGCAGTATAATGGAAAAAGTGGGGAGGTGTGAAACTGGAGGAAAGAAGAAAAGGTAAAGTAAAAAAGGGAGGGGGGGAGGTGTAACTATCGTCAATACGTATTCCAGATCAGTAACTCAAAGTATTGAAGTAAAAGCATTAGCATGACAGAAAAGCAATCAGCATTCTCAGAAAGAAAAGTCAGCAATGGCAGCCTACATATTTCTCTCTTAACAGATTTGTTTTAAGAAACCACCTTTAATGTGTAGCAGCTCTTCCCTTGGCTCTTCCCACGAGCCTAAAATAAGACACTAGCTAGTTTTTGAATTTGAGTTGTGACAGTGGGACCAGCATGCATAAAACCCCTAAGAACTATATAAAAGAGCCACTATACTCCCCCACTGATGTTGCCACCAACACACATTACAATAGGTTGGACAGTCCCATTACCACTGTTTGCCTCAGATTATACTCCTCAGGTTTTAGGTTTTTAATGACTCACCTGAAACATATAAAATGCCAACTTCTCATTGTACTCCCACTGCCTCAATGCTTGCTCCACGTCTTGTGTAACAACTGCTGGACTGCTGCACTGACTGGAATTTCTGTGATAAAAATCCGCTATCTTCACCAACTGTTCTCGGAGATACCGTGTTAATATCTGAGTCCATTCTAAAAGAAAAGTAGAAAATAATGTGAGACAACTCTGCCAATAAAAAGCAAAGTATAGTGCATGATCAATAAGCAACATGTTACCTTAAATTGACACTGTCCTGGAGGTGCCTAAACATACCTACAGCAACGTTTATTGCTCAGGCTACACCCAATGCCAGGTTGTTCAGAGCAGGCATTGCTCCAACACTTCGTAGTCATGTCTAGGGATGAGCTTCAAGTCAACCATGAGTTCAACCTGAAGCGAGCTCAAACACGAGCTGTTTGAGTCTATCCGAACAGTCAAACGATATGGCTAGTTCATCCAGCCGTCTGAATCTCTGGCTGCTTCACCCAGAAGTCATTCATTTAGGCCTGGTTCACACCTGTACCTTTTGTAGCGCGTTCAACGCTCTACAAACGCTCTACAAAACGCTCAAACATGAAAATCCAATTGTTTTCTATGGGTATGGTTCACACCTTGCCGTATTTCAGCCCGTCTGAACGTGCTACAAAACGGCCTACGCCTGAAAAGGTACATGAGCTTCTTTGCGGCGTTTTTGTAGCGTGTTTCCATTGGGATACAGCCAAGTAGCCCTCGGAAACGCGTGTTTGTCTCGCGTTTTTTACCGCGAATTGCGGTTAAAACGCGTGCCACGAAACGCGCTACAAATGTGCATATTTTTATACGCCTAGGTGTGAACAGAGCCTTAGTGGCTGTGTTACCACTGCGGCTAAATTAATTACTTCCTGCCCATCAGCTTGTTTCACATTGTAAATAAATCCAGAGGGGATTCCAAGTGACCAGAAATATTCATGACCAAATATGGTCAATTACATCAGCCAGGTTCCCCGGCTCTGCTGGAAAGTAAACAGTCAACAATATTTGGGGACCCACTTTTTCTAAAGGGGGCTTTCAGTTTTCAATATTTCAATATGCCCCCTACAGACCCCCATATCCACAGGGCCAGGGATGTGGGGATGAGACCCTTGACCAGATGCCTTGCCGGGAGGGGGGGGGTTTGGCCTTGGCAAGGTACCCTCACAATGTGTTATTTAGTTTAGAAGGTGGGGTCTGCACACTCACTGGCCCCCCTCCCAGGCTACATGCCTGGATAAGGGTCTGGTATGGATTTGAGGGGGGGAGACCCATGAAATGTTTTCTTTTTTTGCTATTTCTTTGCCTGAGGTCACCCTCCAAAGCCATACAGACTCTTGTCAAGAATAAGGGTCTTGTATGCCTCTTGGGAAGGACGCACACCATTTTTGAAAACACAGTAAAAGCCAAAAATTAAATGTCATTTAGGAACAATTTTTTATTTTTACTTCCTAAATTGTAACTTTTGCAGAAGAACATCGAACAGGTACAGCTACTCATGCCCTTTTTTTAACAAAAGCTTGCAAATTGCCCTAAAAAAGTCCAGAAAAAGAATTACAAGATTCCCCTCCCAAAGACTTTAGTGGGGTTTGGGAGCTACGTTCACTAATTTTTTTCAAGTGTTCAGCGACTGTCGAGAAAACCAAGCTTTGCTCAATTTACTCAACCCTTGTAGTGTCAGAGCTTACTCTCCTGACCCCATACATTGTTATTGGCCCAACACTATGATAAACCGGAATGTATACAAGCAAGGAGCAGGTGCAAGACCAATTACTAAAAGGGAAAAGCAGGAGCTTTGTGTGATTAGAATGGCCCAGCATTAGGGTTAGAGGATGCAACAAAAGCTACTGCAAGTGTGTTCAATTACCTCTAAGTGTTGCTTTAAACTAATTTCTATGCAACTTTTGCATTTGTACAAGATCGCTGTTTTTAGGGATGCACGGATACCAATTCTAGTATCGGTATTGGTACCGATACACAATATAATGGTTGTATTTTTGACCCACCTAAACACAAGGAGTCCAATAAACTATACATGTATATTTTGCACACAAATGTGACCACAATACCCCTAATAAAGAGAGATGTCAGGTTTTGGGGGCACATATGGCAAAGTAACCGTGCACACATGGCGTGCTGTATCATCTACTTCTCCTCTCTCTCGCCCACCCTGTGATCAGGAAGTGATCACCAGGGGGAGAGAAAAGTGTTGGCAGCAAAGCAGCACAGAGCTGCCCGCTGCCTGTTCCCTCTCGTGAATGTCTGTCTGGACACTCATTGCAGGTCTGGCTGCTTTCTCCTCCCTTCCCTCTGCTCAGCTAGGCAGAAGGAGGAGGCAGCTTCTTCTGACTCAGTTTCCCTCTGTTAAGAGTCTGTACATATGCTTATCAGAGGGCTGTGCAGATCTGTGCCCACATTGTGATGCAGATATTAGTTTAAAGTGCACAGAAACTGTGACAAATCCAATATGTCATAAATCCCCTTGAACAAGGGTGCACTATATTATAAAATGTTGTAAAAAAGATATAGTTTATCAGACCACTATTTGTGGACTGAATATTGAATTATTTTTCCCCTCTATAATTATTTTTAAGTTTAACAACAAAGCTAACAACTAAAAGTGAAAGCATGTAGCAAAATATCTTGCAGCCAATTTTTCACGCTTTATTTCTCAGCACATTATTTACAGGATATAAAAACAATAGGCTTTTCTAACGGCCGTTTCACATGTAACATCACACTTTGTTTGGGCATTGGCAAAGCATGATGTTACACGTGAAATGTCCTTTGGAAGGGCTTATTGTCTTTTTATCCTGTAAATCATGTGCTGAGAAATAAAATGTGAACATTGGCTGCAAGTTGCTTGGTATCCTTGGTAAATTGATTCCTAACCAATCTCAGTTCAATGCTGGTCTACGAGCCACCACTATTTTTTTGAGAGTTTGCGGTGAAAATTATACTATTACAATTTGCCAATAATAGACAATGTACACAAAGAGAATGCCATCTGGATGTCCTAACCCCATCATGGTTCCCTGATCCAATGGAACAAGTGATATTATTAACAGCAAACAATTACAAACCGGCTTTTATTTTTCTGGCTTTACAAAACTGCTAAGGGCCTGTGTCGATTGTGCTTTTGTTCACTTCGGTCGGGTTTTGCATTATCATAACATTCTAAAGTAATGCAAAACCCACTTGAAGCAGGTCATAGGGAGATTAACTGCAGGTCAAATGTACCGCTCAATGAATTCTGAAATAATCTCAGAAGCATCTCAAACTCAAACCGTCAACACAAGCCCAAAGCCAGTCATCATAGGCTCTAAATCTGATTGGATGCCATGGGTTACTGCGCCACATTGCTCCTTCTATCAACAGTTGGCCCATAACAATTAAAGGCTTAGCATCGTAACACTGATCAAAAATAGGGTCTTCAGTTGCCGGTGTGCATCTCTGCCCTTGTGTACAAATCCTGGAATCCAAACAGTAGGAGTCTGCAAGCCTGAAACATTTGCAATACATATCTATAAAATAATATAAAATATCAAATTTCCAGGTGCCCTCTTCAGCGAATTCTCAGTAAACGCCTATGTTTACATATTCATTGGGCAGGCTCATTTTCCTATATAGCCCTATTATGTTCTAGTTATTTTATGTGTCAGTTAATAAACTCCATCAATCAATCAAAAAATCCATCCGCCTGAATATTCCATTATATTCCAAATGCTAATTAGGTTCTACAAGAGTAATATACTGTGCATGCTTCAGATGGAGAACTGACAGCAGTCATAAACAACTCTTTTTTTTTATTGCATCAAAGGCCAATAGAACCTATTTATGTTTCTGAATCTCTAAGTTATTCTGCTGCACAGCAAATGGTCACCATTGTCTTACCTTGCAGACAAACCTATGATCACATCTGCTCATGTTATTGAAACATTTTTCTCTTTTTTTAGATAACATATACAGCTAAATCCGTAAGGACTCATGCACACTGCCACAGAAATATATTTCTACCTAGCATCCTCTGTTGTTAGGATTCTGGTGGCTATTACCTGCACCCTAGCAACCAACAGGCTGCATTAAGACTATGTTCACACCAAGTCTGGACCAGATCTGCACAGTGTGTTTTGACGTGTTTTTACACGTTTTGGCACATTTCTTTTAGCTTAAAATGGACTTTCAGGTCTAAACAAGAAAAATTGGGTGGATAATGGTTCCCTAAGTCGCCTCTTCCCCTTTCTATAGTAACATACAAAAATACACAAAGTGGAGCAGTGGTTTCAGGTCTAGTCCAGTTTGTTAGTGTATTTGCATGCGTTTTAATGTGTTCACATGTGTTCAAGTGCATTCCAGACCAAAAAAAGGGCATGCAGCATTTTTTTCCCCTCATTGGAACAGACTGCACTGGTGTGAACAGAGCCCAGAAATACTATAGGAATGCATTAGGATACATTTCAGATGCGTACAAAGTCTGTTCTGCTCCGGACATTGTGCGAACAAGCCCTAGCCCTGTACGCTTCTACACATGTAAATGTTACAGAAACGTTACATATATAGACATGTTCATTTCTATTTTGTTAAATTCCGACTATAGGATGCATCTGATTTTCCTAAATCAAACGCGTCTGAATGCACACAAATCCAAATGCTCGTTTAACAAAAATTCAGATCAAAACTAAACTAAGTCCAACATGTGACTGTTCCCTGGCCAATCAGATGTTGGTTTTTTTGGCTGCTATAGGCACAGTCATGTCACTTCCTTTTGTGGATCGTTCCGAAATGAAAATCCTGACAGATACGAAATCCGAATAATGAATCAAATCAAACTCAGAATCCAAAAATCCAAAAAACGAAAAATAAAAATTAGGCATGACCGCGTGCATGAGCCACAATACACCTACGGGTCTATTCACGAAGCAGCCGAAGGATCTAGCCGTAGCTTCGGCCGATCCTTCGGCTAGCTTCGGCCCCAGGACCCCTTTGGTTCAGTAGAACCAAAGGGCTGCTGTACGGGCTATTCAGTATAGCCCATACAGCTCCCGAAGTCACCGGACGGCTCAGTCGAGCTGAAGGCATATGCTTTGGCTTGACTGAGCCGAGGTGAAAGCCGAAGCTGGCCGACAGCCTGCTTCTGACAGCTGGGCGAAGCCAGCCGTGATCTTACGGCTGGATCCGGCCACTTGCAGAGAGATCAACGTCCCTGGTTACCAGCTAACCAGGGACACTGATCTCCAGACAGCCTAACTGTCACCATAGGAATGCATTGCTAGATTCCTATTGGCTATTTCAATTTGCAATAGCCAATAGAAAAATAGCCATTGCACCCGCCCGCTGCTGCAGTTCTGCATCGGGTCCCCACTAGTGATTGACAGCAGCAGAGGGCGGGTGCAATATCTAGTTTGCTATTGGCTATTGCAAATTGAAATAGCCAATAGGAATCTAGCAATGCATTCCTATGGCGAAAGTTTTTTAAATTTTTTTTGACGGCAGCAGAACCGCCGGCCTATAAAAAACAGTTAGGCGGAGCTACCTGTCATTTCTAATTTTTTTTTCTTCTTTTTTAACAATGTTTCTGTTGTCACTGCTGTCACTGCTAGCTCCACACAATCATTTGCTATTTACTTTTTTTTACCTTTTTTAAATAATTTTTTTGTTCTGCTCGGTCCCTCTGAGGGACCGAGCAGAACAGCCGAGCCGAATGCTGCTCATCAGCATTTTCGAAAGTTTTTTAAATTTTTTTTGACGGCAGCAGAACCGCCGGCCTATAAAAAACAGTTAGGCGGAGCTACCTGTCATTTCTAATTTTTTTTTCTTCTTTTTTAACAATGTTTCTGTTGTCACTGCTGTCACTGCTAGCTCCACACAATCATTTGCTATTTACTTTTTTTTACCTTTTTTAAATAATTTTTTTGTTCTGCTCGGTCCCTCTGAGGGACCGAGCAGAACAGCCGAGCCGAATGCCGCTCATCAGCATTCGGCTATTTACTCACTGCTGTTCGGCATCTGCACTTCGGGTCGGCATGTTCGGCCGACCCGAAGCCACACGAAGCCACCCAATGTACAGCTGAAATCAGCCGTACAAACCTGAAGTGAATAGGAGAACAGCGTTCGGCTCACTTTACTTCAGGTCGGTCGTTCACTCTACTGCCTACGGCAGCTTAGTGAATAGACCCCCTAGTATTTTTATCAATGAATACAAAATGTTTACTGATTGGATGAGGGGTAGATTGTGATGTCACTGCCCCTTATCCAATTAGAGAATGTCTAGTATACATTGATGAAAATATCGAGGTCTTCACTGAATGGCCTCTGAGCTGAGCTTGCTGTATTTTAAAAGCAGAGAGGAAGTTGCTCAGCACAGCAACTTACAGCACCTCGAAGAGTTCTGTAACATTGTAGTAACTACGACTACTACAGTATTTTACAGGATGCCCATGACCCTTCCAGGTATAAAATATACATACTTACATTGTGCCATGCTGGACAAGTGTAAGTATACATCAATCTTTATAGCTGGAGTTCAGCTATAAAACATACAGTATTTCTTGATTATGCAAAAAGCACATGCAATTCTGAACATTGTAAGGGTGATTAAGTAACGCAGTAGAGGAATTCAATGGAATTTTTACTTATTTTAGTGAATGTGGTGAATGAATGAAAGTAAAAATCTCTTCTGCAAAAAATATCCAATTAGGGGCAAAAAAAAACAGGATTTGTGCTTGAAAATAACTGGATGATTGAAGTTAGCAGAACTTCCCCTCAATTGAAGAGAATTTTCTCTTTGCAAAGTATATTTTCACTTTGTTTCACTAAGATGAGTGAAAATACACTTATCAACGTGAAAATTTGCTATAAGAGTGACAATTCTCTATTCCTTTAGTGTGGGAAGAGTAAAGGAACTGGAATTACCTATGTTTGGATCACTTGATTGTCGCTTCTTTATTTTGGCTTCTGAAATAGCAGCATAGTATGCGCAAGTCATTTTCACCAGCCAGGCAGCTCGCAATAGTGGCACTGAATATTTGGCCAGGTAGCCAAAAACATCTTCCTTCTTACTAAGTATAGGTACCTACAAGAAAAGGATATGACAACATGGAACTGAAAATGTACTGTATGTTTCAGTAAAATTGTACTTTTAAAATACCTGATAACTTGCTACAATATAGCAAATTTGGAAATATTACCTTGCAGCTTTTCACTTTATTTTATTGTTCTGTGGAATCTCATTGACCCAAAAAGTACAATTTTTAAAACATTTTTTTATACCTAATAAAACTGCAAACTCAGTTTTCTACATACAAAGCCGTATCACAGCAAACATTCCTAAGGGCTTATGCACACAGGTGAATTCGGGAGCAAATATAGGCGTATTTGCATACAGCATAAAATATACCTGTATCTGCAAAGCACCTGGGAGTCACAGCTCCTGCATTTTTCTGTCCATAGGAATGTATGGACAGTAAAAAGTGTAAGTGCTGTATATGGAATGAAGCCATATTCTTTCAATAAAGTGGAATGAAATGTGGAGATCTTGCATTGACCCCTTTAGGGTGCAAAGATGGATTTGGTCCAGAGTGGATTAACATCATTAGATGCGTTCAGGGTTGGGGAGGGCTCAGATTATCCTTGATTGATACACCTTTTGTCAATGGTCATACTGACCATACATCTGAAGGTATATGACCTCAAAGAGATTCTTATGATCAGGTTATTAAATCTTGGATAATTACTTTTCAATTTTATAATGTTGATTAGAAGATGATTGTGTTCTAGCTTATATTAATATTTATGTATAATATCACAGTTTGCAGTGTGTCTATTGACTTCAGGTCCTTCTGATTGTACCCGTACGCTCGTCCATGGTATTTTAACAGTCAAAAGCCTGAGTTGAAGTCTACATAATCTCAAATGTTTGTATAATTACTATTCAATATCTATAACATGGTGTAAGACATGTGTATGATCTTTGAATTATGCTCATATATCTCTTTGTATGTATCCTTAGTAGAGCCTCATCAATGTCCTGATGAAGGGGGGGGGAATTTTTGCCATCTGTCCCATTGAAAAGATTTCCTTTCACATCCTGTTCCATAGCCACAAATAAAGTGAGAGTAAATGCTCAGTCACCAGGGCCTCTGGAATTAGTGTCCCCATTGGAAGGTTTCCCATTTACTCCTGTTTTGGTGACATCTCAAAATTTGACTTTCACTCTTAATAATAACAGTCACCAGGGCAAATAGAGGGTGAATGTCCCTAACAAGGACATGGACAGCAATAAAACCCCAGCAGGTATTCCATTCCCTCTCCACTATCTAAAATAATAATAAAAAGTTTGGGCTTTAGTTCTACTTTAAATATTCAGGGTGTGCTTCCTGCTCAATAGTGTTACACAGCGATTGTGCTTTACAGCACCCCCATTAGGCTTGGTTAGCAGCTGTGCGTATGCAATAGCATGAGCACAGATATGAACATTTTGCGTGCATTAAGGTGCAGGGCATTTGCACAGCCTATTCATTTCAATGTGCTGCCCAACACATGTACATCGAACAAAAGAAGTGTGTGCTCCCTTTTTAAAAACAAGGTGCACCACAGCACATGGTACTTTTGAACCATGTGTTTTGGCATGCTAAAATGCATGTGCTTTTGCATGCATGTTTGGAGTCCCAATTTTGCAGTTTTTAAGAAGAGAAACTGGCTATACTCACTGAAAAACAAATAGGTACTGTAGAGGGAATCTACATAACTTTAGATTAAGTTGAATAAAATGATAATATAAAATGACTTTATTGTATACATAAGAATACTGATATGCCTGTTTATCAGGCAACCTCATGACTGGCTGTTAGGAATGAGCAATGAACATGCACATTTAAAGTCATCCTTGGGGTGCCTTCTTTAATGTAACACATGAAAGCCTCTGCCCTCTTTCTGTTGGCTCTGAATCAGCAGGCTAAGAGGAGACACATGCTTGTACTTTTCTTTATTTTTATTTAATAAGAAATAAAAATATTCACAGCATGAGAGCCATTTATGAAAAATGACTGGTTAGATACCCTTTGGCTTCCAATACACTTAAGGCTTCCTGGTAGAGACTTTCCATTTAGCACACCAGCTATTCAGGGAGATTAAATCACAAATCTCTTATTTTAGCTACAACAGTTCTGCAAATGTGGTAACTCAGTGGGATCCATCCAGGGATAAGTGTAGGTATGTCAACTACTTTCTGTGGTTTGATCAGGTAGGGTGTGAAGTAAATAACAGGAATGCAGGTGAATACCTTTGCTACCATGAATTTCTGTTAGAGACTTACCTGGGCTGTGGTGTCCAAAAAGCAGCTGTTCCATCTTCCTTAAGCTGGCCATACACCTATAGATTTTCTATGGTCAGATGGAAAAAGTGCAACACATTCCTCCATCTACGCTAAACTGTGTGGATGGAGGAATCTCCCGCTGGGCCAAGCTTCAATGTCTTGCTTGTCGGCCCCTATGGCTCTCAAAACACCTGAACACCTGAACAATGGCTGCATCCAGATTGTTCAGGTGTTTTGAGGACTTGTTCACACCAAATCTGCATGAGTTTCTGCACACGCAGTGCAGAGGGTTGTTCTGCGTTATTGCCACGTTTTTTGCCGTGTTTTTGATGCGTTCCGGGCCGTTTTTCTAAAGCTGGTAACAAATTGATGAGTGCGTTTGCCATTTGTTTTGCTTGACTGATTTGGTGCAGTGATGCATGGGGGGTCTCAGCTGCCGTTGTGATGTGCGGGGTCCCCTGTTCGTCCCTGTGCCTTTAAGGGAGGTTGGGCTACCTCCTGACAAACCTGCACCCAATTTGATCTTTTGCCACATGTGCTCAAGATGAAGACTCACATAGTTTAGAGTTAGGACCGCACTATATAGAGCTGCCTTGGCGTGGCTGTGCGGCTTTCACATTTTCTGCAGAAGACGTGTATCTAAACATCTGTTTTTAACCTTGGCGGTGAGACAAGTTTTTTTGCATGCTGGGAAACTTTTTGCTATTGTACTGTACTAAGCCCTTCCATGTGCACCTTGCTGTAAAGCTAGTGACAAATTGATGAGTGCATTTGCCATTTGTTTTGATTGACTGATTTGGTGCAGTGACGCATGGGGGGTCTCAGCTTTTTGTTTTGTGGAATAAGAGCCCGACTCATCATCACCTGTGGTGTGACAGCACTGGCAATTGGATTCACTAACCAGTATAAAACGGGACATGGACTTGTTATTATTTGGAAATTAAATCATTTTTGATACACATTAGGACATATGTTTGGTAAATAAATTTTATCTGTGGAATTATTGCATGAATATTAGTACTTTGTATAAAAGTAGGATGTACTTTATAATTGAAAAGCACGGTGTATAATCACAGTACAACAGATTATGTGGTTTTAAAAGGGAGTTACACTTGTATGTATCACTATAACTTGTTTAATTGCAATTTAGATTGCGCAACACTATTTATATTTACCTGTAATAATAGGTGCAGCTCAACACATTTGGCACGGGATGCAATTGTTTTACATTTAACTCCTTTAGAGCCTGTCGACAGGATTTTGTTTGTTTTTTAACAGGTTTTGAATTCACATACATGTCTGTGAAAATGCAAAACCCAGTAAATGCAAGTTGGGCAGTCAACGGCAGATAAAATGCAACTGTCAATGGATTCTGAATGATCTCCGAAGCTTCTCAGACTTATGTCAAACTGGTGCCATCAACTCAAACCCAAAGCCCATTGACACAGGTCATTGTGTAAAACGTAAGTCAAACTGTGTGTGTGTTACCCCACAATGTGGTGCCGATGTTGGTTGTTTTATATTTAGCAGCACAAAACCTGACAAATGCAGTGCACTGAGGTCTAGACACCTAAAGACAGACCCCTAAAAAGATTAACATTATTAGTATTGCTATGTGTAAAAGAGACTCATGCATTTAGCAAAATGATTTATATATGCAAAACAGACACTTACATGTTTATTCAGTAAGGCAGTGCACTGAGCAAAGATGATATGCTGCAACATGCAGTTATCCATAGTGATCAGTCAGAATTCCTCATTATGTGTATAGATAGCATACAGTTAATGATAACAACTAATTAAAAATAGGCACAGTTGTTTCAAATGATCATTAATTTAAAAATCATTGTGATGCAACAAAGTAAAAGATCAGTTTAGGTGCATTGGAATGGACTTTCTTCTCAAACCAATTGCTCCTTTTCAATGAAAATGATTGTTCATTGGCCTAACTGCCCATACAGTAGTGTATTAGATTTAGAAATATAAAATTTGTTTCTTAAAAAGAATTGTAATATTGAACAACTGTATCATTGTATGGTCAGCATTAAACCTGGCTGCAGTAAACCAAAATGTATTTTTTATGGGTTACAGCACAATCTTGTCGTTCTTTATACTCCTTGTTGAATAAGTTCTTTGCACATTCGATAGCACTAATAAATGAGTTTTACCTTTTTTGCTAGAACAGTGAGATGCTTGTTTCCAGCTAGATCGGTAAACCAGCTGTGTATCGCACCCTGAGAGCGAGCAGTCACAAGCCAGTAATTGTCTTTAGCATTAATCTGTGGCTTTTTCCTCCCCGTATCCTGAAAGGTGTTCAATTTTAGTTTTTCAGCAAGAATGCTGCTGAAGTATGCGCCAATCTGCAAACACATGAAATGTAGACAACATTGTTATTTTCATATCCTAGCATTCACATGCTTAAAAATTCTAATATCTAGGATACATAAATACTGTATATGAAGCAGTACATGTCCAAATAAATATGTAACAGACTTACCCCTGGGGAAAAAAAACTTCCCTTGCAGTAAGGGCAAGTTCACACCATTTCCTGGACCAGATCTGGTACTGATCTGGTGCAGAAAATGGTGTGAACCTGTCCGCAGTTCCAGTGTATTCCAGACCTGACAAAATGAGACATGCAGTATTTTTCTGGTCTGGAACAGGCTGTGCTGGTGTGAACAGAAATAGCATAGGGATACATTAGGATGCATTTTGGGTCCGGAAACAATCTGGTCTGGTGATGATCTGGATGTGGTGTGAACGGGCTGTGACAGGGTACACGACTCTGTGTATGTCAGTGAGAGGTTGAAAAGGGCAGCTTTCCCTGGCTAGGAAAGGGTTAAGCCTGGCCCAACAGGTAAACCTCCTCTCTTTCTCTCTCTCTATTAATTAGCCTGCACCTGATAGTGACGGAGAGGGAGTGAGAGCTCAGAGTGAGATCCAGGCTGCACTGGATGGACACAGACTGGAGAGTGTCTGCATATCTGGAGAATAAGGTCTGTCAGAACAATTGTTTGTATTGGACTGTGGTTTTTGTCCATTTATACTGGAAGCTGGAATAGCCGCTCCAGTAGGACGTAGTGAGGGACACTACTGTCTAGTTAGCCTCCTAAGGTGGAGTAGGCCTTTTTATTTGTGTTACTTTTTCGTTGGATGCAATAAAGCTGCATTTATTGCCATTACTGTTTAAAGACCAGTGACTTTCCTACAGGGCCCTAAGGAAAGAGAAGGGGAAAGGAAAAGCCATGAAAGGATTAATGCTTGTTTAGGTCTCGGGTACCTGGGTAAAGGACATTTACTTCATCCTAGGATACACAGCTCTGACCCTATTATACCCCACACAAACCACCTTGGTGCAAAGTCACAATCCACTTTCCAAGGGTACACATCAGTCTACAGCAAGATGGCAGCACACAAGAAAATCTCCTCCAGTTGCATTTTTATTTCGTACTGAAAGGCGGCATTCACAGGGGACGTTCTGTGAATCCAGCGGCAAGAACCTACGGTTTCTTGCCGCAGGAATCACAGATGGCCCCCTTCAGATGCAGCCTCTGTTGCCATTCAAGTTAATGACAATGTTCCATGTATGATTACCTGCAGACTGCTGCTGACAGATCCCGCCAAAGGAATCCCAGAATGCAGCATAAGTCCCTGGGTGAATGGGACCTAAAGTCTATAAAAGCAACACATGCCAGTTGTGTTACCAGGTTCTTTTATGGACTTTACAGTATGAAAAAAGATACATTTTGTGTGGTTATATCCTTCTGTGAAAGGACTTTTACTTACCTGGTCTCCGCTCCTGCAGGTACCTTCCAGACTTAAAGACTGGCACTTGCAGCCACTTCACCCTAACAGTTTGGCAGTTGGAGACGCGCTGACCGCATTATACGTGGGATGCCGAGGAGCAGTCCACACACTGGAGCACATGGGAGACATGGAGAGTGTTGACTGCAAGGGAGTTGGGATCAGGTAAGTAAATCTGCTTTACACGGGAACCCTAGACCTAAACAAGCATTTAACTGTTGCAGTGCAGGGGCAGCTCCACTTCAAGGGGAGTTTTTAGTTCCCCGGAGACAGACTTTAACTGAAGAAAAATTAGGATACTGCTTAGTCAACACTAAAATTGCCCCTTTTTAAATTTCTCTCATTTTCCAGATGATGGAAGCAACGTAATAACATAAATATCTTCTCTCAAATGACATCTAAACAAATACATCGTAGGCCCCATTCACACTGAGCGATTTATCGCGCGGTAATTCCCGCGATATCGCGGCTATTTACCGCGCGATATCGCTCTCCAATGCATGGCAATGGGGCTCTGTCCGTCGCTGTCGCGGGTCGTGCGTCGCTACAGCAGGACCCTTTTTGGAGCGGATTTTGCAGCGATTCTAGCTTGCTCAATGCAAGCATTTGCGCGATATCACGCGACAAACGCGCGATATCGCGCAAAATGCAAATCGCGCAGCAAATGCGCGATTTGCGAATCGCTCAATATGAATGGGGCCTTAGGTTTTAAAGAAACCAATGAAGCTTTTGTTCAAAACTGTTTCTCAGATTAGTACCAAAAGAGAAAAATGTACATCTTGTATCAGAACAGGAAAGTGAGATATCTGATCAAGCCACAGTGCAAAGGCCATTACTGCTATGAGATCAAATTCTTCAATGTGACATAACTTTGCTCCAATCTTGGAGAGGAACTGCTGCACTCCTTACCGGAACCCCTATGTATGAAGGAGGGTGCTGTAGTAACCACGGATGGCGCCGTGCATCTTCAAATATATGATAAATGTTACCAGCACACCTATGTCTTGTGTCAATAATCCATCCTCTTTATTGATGCAGACTGTCACAAAACAACATTTCCAGGGCCATTGAGGGTCCCCTCCATTAGGTTTTAGTATGACCATATCATATTCATACTAAAACCTGATAACCTGTTTTGTGACAGTCTGCATCGATAAATATGGATTATGGACACAAGACATAGGTGTGTTGGTGACATTTATCATATATTTGCATGCAACAAGACATGGCAACATCTACGCACATAAATCACTAGACGGTAAATGTAGTTATGGAAGTCCTGGCATACAGCTCTAGTGCACAAGTTCTTTTTGTCGGCCTGTAGTATCATCATTGACAAAAGATTTCTCTTGTCACCAGCCTTCTACCATTAGAAATGTTGACAGTTATGGTATGCAGTGTGCAGAAAATATGCCTGTACACAATGGTGAAAGTACTGCTACAGCAAACAGCCTCTTTGGGAGCCAATGACAACCTATTCCATTGCTGATCTTATTGCAAGACAGCCCTGCCACGTAGACTTTGTACTACAGGGGATTATGTATGCTCTCTTAGGTAATGTGCATGTAAAGCCAAAACAAATTGTGATTGTTTTAGATGGAGTGGAGAATGGTTGGTTAAAAACCCTATCAGTTTATTTATTGCTATCTGTATCTCATCAGGGAGATTTTCCTTCACTTTGGGTCCCAGAGAGATAACAGGAAATGAGAGGAAATATATACAAGGTAAGGAACTCTCTCACTTTGTAGAGATGTCTACCCACTTCCAGTTGTACCTCTAAGACAGGAAGTGAAGGGAAATCATCCCAATGGGACCAAAAAATAAATTGACAGGGGTTTTAAACTTTGTCCAAAACTAACAAAATGTTTTGGCAATATATACACTTTAAGGCACAGCCCTGTAGGTAGCGCTTTAAGACAACAAGGTAAAGTAGTATTAAACTCTCACTCTTTCTCACTTTTCAATAAATAATTCAGAACAAACAAATATACATTGGCCAGCAAAGTATTTCTGTAAATGTCTGCCCAAGCACTTACAGTTATCATGTTTCCAAACAGCACCAACTCTCTCAGCTCAGCTTCCCTGAATTATCTATCCAGTACAAGATTAAAAGAGGCAGAGCAGTCTCCAGTAGCTGTCCAACTACAGTACTAGCTTGGAGAAGGGAGGAAGAAGGAAGGAGAAGATGGGGGGAGAGTGATTTGACTTGCTCAGTCTGTGTGTTTGTAGAGACACACACACACAGCTTACTAGTACACACAAGGGTGGCTCCGTAGGACCCTGCAAAGGAAAGGGGGCACCCTAAAACTGAATATCAGGAGCAGTGCTCAGGAGACCAGCTGATTCTGGAAGAAACTAAAACTTTTAAACATCAATGAGCAGCATTCATTGTAAGTGATTTAATTAGCATTTGAAATGGCTTAAAAACATTTAGACTTTAACATCACTTTAAATCACCACATTCCTTCTAGTGGCTGGTGGTTGTCATTGGAGTGAATGTATTGTCCAACGTAGAATATATGAGCAGAACAGGGAGCACTACTGTCCCCACTTGCGTGGACTTAATCTAGTCCTTTCTTTAGATTACAAGCCGAGCCATGAGCTATTTATCTACCAGTGAGACCTTGCACTAATTATTTGTTATGAGTATGTGCAGCACTGTTGGTAAGTGTTCCAGGCTTCAGAAAACATTTGTCTATGCTATGCAAAATTAGTAAATTGTAGTTGATAAAAAAAAAGAAAAAAGTAGTAGTGATTCTACCTTAGATGGGTTTATGACAATGTTCCTAGCTGATCCATGCTCATCTCCAGAAAATGCAGGTTGGTTACTAAATCCTTGTTTTACATTCACTGCAGTTAATTCATCCTGGAAGAAAAAAGAAGCAGTCAATATGATCCGCTGTCACCTTCAACACAAATGTAATGATCTTTTCGGTTAGTACTTGCTACAAACACAGCTTTTCATATCCTCCTTGTCATGTCCAATACATTCACACATACTGGTATTTAGAGATACCAGTATGTGTGAACCAGTAAAACAGTCATTTTCTGCTTAGTTCAGTTCAAATTCAAAGTCATGTTAAGGCAAAAAGAGTAAAGGGAAATTTCCCTTGAAACTCAGTGGATATTCGAGAAGAATGCTGATAGGGGAGGCGTTACTGCTTTAAAAAAAAAACAAAAAAAAGCCAGTCTATAACATACTATCAATGCTGCTTTAAGTACTTACCTTAAATTATGTCTCTTGATCTAATCATCTTCTTCTTTCCTGTAGTTTTCAGGAATCCTTCCAGCGCTGGTGCTGGTCTCTGATCCACCGCAGACTCTCTCTTACTGTCCCACTGAGTCTGTGCTGGTGCACGCTGCATGCATTGACTTACCCCGTGTCTCTCCTCTTCTCTTGGCAGAAGATCTCTACTGCGCATGTGCACGCTCCATGGTCCTTTGCAGCAGACCAAGAAACTTTAGATGTTCGAATGGTAGCGAGCGGCGGAGACACAAGTAAGTTTTAACCTTTTTGTTAACGTTTTTTTGTAATGTTTTTGCATATATCTACTGCTTGAAAAAGGGAAGTACAGAAAAGCAATTATAAACCTCTGTTTTAATTCCCCCCCATCCCTCCCTGCCTTTTCTATCCTCCCTGAGGTGCTCACATTACCTCATTAGATCTGTCCTTACTGTTTACACTGATCCCTGTACCTCTAGTCATTGCACTGTATCCTGTTTGACTGATGTTATACTTGTAACGATTTCCTCTGATGATACTTCTCTGTGCCTTATTTGTTTGAGTACCTGTTATGTCTAAATACTCAATAAAAATTATTGAAATTAAAAAAAAAAAATAAGCCCCCATTCATCTCTATACCTATGAACATTGCATAAAAATGTATTTTCAAAGTTTTGAAAATAAGTAATGTCACAATAAATACAGCTAGAGAGGTGTACTGAGTGCTTGTTTTAAAGTCCTTTACTGCTTGATAAGATTCTGCAAACAGGTTATGTCAATAGTTAGAGTAGATTTTACAGGTAACATGGAACTGGAGTGTGAGCTATGTGCGTATATATTTTTGTTCAGGACTAAACACATTTAAAAAAAATTTCATTCACTTCAGTCCGGTAAATATGAAATAGTGTATATGCATTACAACCAGCAGGGGGAGCTCTAGGCTACAGTTAACATGTTTATCTGTATATTCTTAACTGCTCTGTTGGAAGACAAACTGCTGAAATGTGTGCCCACTCTTTCCCTATCCTGCCTACATGTTCAGTACCATAGAAGTGGCAATCAGAGAGATAAAATGTGAAGCATTTTGATGTAAATGGTTATTTCCAAAATAAAGATTTTGTATAAATAAAAAAGCATAAAATATTTCCATAGCTTAAAAAAAAGGAAATAAAATTGACCCAAAACCAGGGTCTTGGCACAGCAATCTTTACAGTACAAATGGGAAAGATACAGTCATTTTCTTTATGCTGACAGCGTACAACGGAGTAACATATTAAAATAATGAAACAAGAAACATCTAGCCACCCACCTGAAACCTAACAGCCTCTGTAGTAACGTATATTGCCTTTCCATGAAGCTAGCATCATCTGCCTGCACAGAAACTACATCAGAACAATTCCCCAAGTAGGTTTCAGTTCTGAGTTTACTAGAGGCAAATCTGTGGCCAAACTTCAAAAGACGGAGTAAATTAGCTTTTTTACTGAGGTTAACTTTGTTTTTTCCAGTTTTTTGTGGTAAAATTAGGTACCTCGGCTTATATTCGCGACGGCTTATACTCGAGTATATACGGTATATTAAAATGTACAATATACAGGATTATATTGTGTTTTTATGAGTAATACTTTACTAGCAGACACAATGAGATTTATGGAAAGTGATAAAAATTTGTAGCCAATGATAGAGTGGTAAAAGGTTATGACCTCCATCAGGTTTATATTGCTGACGGCATTGCCATTGTGGATTTTTCTACTCCCTTCCTGACATAGATTGCAACAAAGCCGTTATATTGCAGTAAAACATAGAAAGGTTAAAACCTTTGTCAAGATATTATTGATGTTTGTGTCTTCCTATCCCATTGACAAACACTCCCCCACTTCTTGTCCTGCTGTCACAGGAACAGGAAGTGAGGTTTAATCTTCCCAACGTGGTCACTAAAAGTAATAAAAAAATTAACAGATATAACCATCACTGGTTTCCAGGAGCTCGGCAGAACGCTGGCAAGAGTGTCCCAGGTTGCTAAGAGCTGGGCGGAGAAATGTGTATGGTGCTTACACATCTCCCCGCTCGTTTCTTAGCAACCGGAGATGCTCGCGCTGGAAATGGGGCATGGTTCCTTTTGCATGGTTCTTGTGACATTTCTTGATACTTAAAGAGAGAATTCACACCCCCCAGTTTTTTTTTTTCATCCCCTCTTACCAGTTAAGCAGGGTTTTCTTTAAAAAAAACTCACTTGCCCTGGCTGTGATGCGCTGCCATCAGCCAGGTCCCATGCCGCCATCTCCCTTCCTACCTCATCTGTCTCTCCCGTGTTCTACAGCTGCCCCTCGATGTTGTGCCATCAGGTCCACCCTCCAGCCACTGTGTGCACCTGCTCCTGCAGCCTCCTGGGATATGTGACTTGGATATCCCAGGAGGCTGCCAGAGTATGACATGCCATTCTAGCCTATATAAGAATGGAGGTAGAGGGGCGGGCCACATTAAATAAAATGTAAACATTTAAACATTCAAAAAAGGCTTTTAAATATTGTAAGGTGAGAGGGGGGATAACTCCACTTGGGAGTGAAGGTCCCCTTTATTACTCTTATTGGAAAAGAAAAGCAATTATAAACCTCTGTTTTAATGTTAAAAAGGAAATCATACAGCAGCTATATAAATACAGAAACAGTATAATATAGCAGGAGAGGGTAGAGGGGATTGGTTGCTGTGGAGTTAAATGACACTAAACTCAGGAGTTAAATCCTAAAAATATATTCAAGTACCTTAACTGTTAACAAAAATGTATCTTATTTGTGTATCACTCAGCTGTAGATGCTCAAATCATCTCTGAATTGGTGCTGACACTGTCCTTCCTTCTGGAGGGTGTCTACTTTTGTTCCTCATGGTCCCTGTGTGTGTTGTAAAGTAACCAATGCTCCAAACTCAATCCTGTGATGGACTACAATCTCACCTTTTAGTTTATTTATCTTGTTTTGAGATTGTAGTCCATTTCAGGAGGGAGCTTAGGCTTGTGGCTATTTTACAACACACAGAGGGACCGTGGGGAACAAAAGTAGCCCCCCTCCAGAAGGAAGGACAGTGTCAGCATAAATCAAGGGAATGTTTAAGGATCTACAGCTGAGTGGTGCACAAATAAGCTACGGTTTTGTTAATAGTTAAGGTACTCAAGTGCATTTTTAGAATTTAACACCTGAGTTTAGTGTCACTTTAATCTATATGCTGACTTTCAGGATACCAGTGGCAAAACATCACCACCAGAATCCTATGTCCGCACACTTGTGCTGTGGCTATTATAAGGCAACTGGTGGTGCTACGCTCCACTAGTGGGTTCTGCACAATGATAAATTAAGGGAAAAAAGTGATTATTATTTCATAGGATTTATAAAGCGCCAACAATTTGCTCAGGAGAGTTCCACTTCAAGATTGTGGCCTTCATTAAGAGTTTATGGGATGCGGTGGAAACACATTACTGCAGGGAAGGTAATTTAATCTGCCATTGTAAACAAATAACAGTTATGGGGGGATCTGGCCTTTAAAAAACAAGTTGGGGTTAAACATCCTACAGCTGCTCTGACTGGTCCGAAGAGACTTTTATTGTCATCAGTTCTGGATTCTGCTATCTCAGCCAAAATGCCAGCCCAGGGCTGCTTCCCCCAGTTGAACAATTTTGAAATGACAAAGTAATTGTCAGTTACTTAGGACGTGTGCAACTCTTTAATTCCTGCCAAATTCTTCATAAAATATATTGTTAATTTGTAAGACATGTTGTATGGAGCAAAGCTTATATGTCTCTCAGAGACAAGCAATGTTTGTGTAATGTGTAAGCCTATAGGGAATGTCTGGTGAGACTTGCCATGAAACAGGGAAATTACACAGCTAAGGTAATGTACAGCTGTTTATATGGCCACATGGGATCTGGCAGAGATGATGATACTGATATGTGAACTGTTGTTACCTGAGGAATCTATGAGCCCCTGGGTGATTATAATTATAGAGCTGATATCAAGGGAGCTGCTTCTACTTCTTACACTTATTTATACTGCTCTCGTTTTTAAAATAAACTAACAGGGGAGCTAAGATAGGTAGTAGATAGTGAAACAAATACATCTTCTGTTAATTGTAAGGCAGAACCCTAAAAGCTGCCATGCACTAAACCCTGAAAGTTGCCATGAACTGTAACCTGAAAGACTCCATACAATGAACGCTGAAAGACTCCATGCACTAAATCCTGAAAGCCTTTATATGATCTCCCAGGTGATTCTCCCAGGGTGAGGCTATTCCATTACTCTCCAGGTGTGCTGACCCCTGTGATTTCCCCAACTTCGGGAAACATGCGACTGCATAATTTGTGGTAGTGGGGGAAACAAAACCCCTAAAAGCCTCCATGCACTGAATCCTGAAAGCCACTTGCACTGTGAGACTATGATTATTTCATGAAAATGATCAAACATGGGCACTATAGATAAGAAATGGTCATATCAACTATATTCTGTTGGTGGATTGATTGCAATGAACAAAGCCACCAGTCTTATTTTATGATGTATTTGATCTAGAAGGTTTCTGTCTCATTAGATATTTTTGGTTGCTAACACTTTTGTTTCCGTTTTATTTCCGCTTCTGTTTTATTAAAAAAAATTACATATGTGATGTGGTTACCCATGATAGCAACTACATATTTATTGCACTTATTTTTATAGCACGGTTTGCAGCACTTTACAAAGTACATTGACATTAGTGCCTGCTCTTGAACACGTATTCATACAAAAGCAGGTTTAATATGGGCGAAAGCTAACCTACTAGCATAGGTTATTATAGGAGTAAAGCAGAATATCCAAATATATTCCATGCACACCCTTTTTGCATGTGTTTTTCCCCAGTACCACTGAGACCCATAATTGCAAAGGAAACGTTCATGTGACTTAAGTATGAAGCTTAATAACTAAGGGTTAGCCTTATTCAATAGAGGATGAAAGGAGCAAAGTGCTAATTCTTAAATGCAATAACCCATATCAACCAATCAAAATTCATCTTTGTGAAATAAGACCAATACAAGATAAATACTGATTTCTTTGGGTTATCACACTTAAAAGTTAGTTCTTTGCTTCCTTTCCAGAAATCCATATTTTTTTTATGATCATGAATCTATATATATACAGTAGAATTTTTATTTCTTCCAATGAAATAATGCATCTGCCTGCTACAGGCACTATCACTCAGTCCATACAGTATATTTTATTTATTTTATTGGCAGGACTGTGTGCGCTGGGCAACAGTTTCCATTTACTTTGGCTTTAATATATATGAGGCCTAAAGTACTGAAAGATGAACTGGGTGCATACCTGTGGTGGTTAGGAAATAAATATGTTTTACTGCCATTACTGACCTACTTCTGAAAATGTAATCTGCTTATCTGCTCGTGATAAAAATGTTGTCCTGCTAATTCAGTGACTTGAATATTTTCTGAGTCACAGATTGGCGAATGTCCAATCAAACTGAACCCAGGGCCACCTGAGTACTAGCAACCAATGAGGCTGTGGGACCTGCACAGTGTCATTGGACACTAGTGGTGCAAAATGACAACCAATGACACAGTGGGGCCATCTGGATCCTAGCAACTAATGACACTGTGGGTCCCCTGTGTTCTAGCAACCAATGATGCTCTGTGCCCTATGCTCATAGGTTGTAATAGTGTACTTACCTGCTTCCTAGAAACCAATGGCACTGTCCGGACCAGCCGCTAGTGTCCTAGCAACCAATTTGACTTTTGCAGGCCACAGAGTGTCATTGTTTGTTAGGACACATTTAGATGTTTGGCAGGTAAACAAACTGCCCAATTTGTTAGCCTGTTTTTCGGACTGCAAACATTGGGTTTGGGTCAAACTGATGTTGGATCCGAGCCTGAAGCTTATCCCTGTCTGAAAGCACTAAAGCCACAGTTAGTCAGGCAACTGATATGTTCACAAGGAGGTCAGCAAATGCAGCCTGCATATTCAGCTCAGTAAAGGTTTCCTTTAACAGGCTACAACCAATCAGCTTCTATCTTTTATTTTCAAAACTAAACTGAACAAACTGAAGAGAGAAGCTGATTGGTTACTATTACCAACTGCTCCAGATCCTTTCTGCTCCAGTTTTGATAAATTCCCCTCACAGCATTTTGAGGACTTAGTGGTGTCAGCCATACCCAGTATTTTGCTTAACTATTCCATCAGATCTCTACAACATAAAGACCAATTGATCTGTAGTCCCAAGATAAAAACTAGGAGGGATAACTGGACTCCTTGAGATACCACAGGAAGTGTACGCAAGACACAGAACAGCTCTAAATTTCTGAAGTGATCAATCGAACAGATATAACAAAACTGTTTCATTGGTATATTTAACAGAGCCAATAAGATAACTTCATTGTTAGGATTTACATACACCGTACTATTGCTGTATATTTTCAAAATAATCCAACTTTTTCTTGTAGAATTCCTTCAGATTACTGTAACTGTTCTAAACATGTATATTGTTATACATGGTATCAATTTACAAACGACAGTCCTCTTCTGCCATTTTGTAAGGTGAGAGATTAGTGACATCACTGATGTATGATATTGGTGTCTCCAACCTCACTAGTTCCGAAATGGATATAGCTCTTCAGTTCACAATTTACATTCCTTTAATGCTTCTTTTAATGCTTCTTTTTATTCATGTTTGTTATTATTTCTTTATAAAAGTCAAGTTTTTCTTACATCACCCAGACCTGATATTATCTATAGTTTTTTGCCTAACTGAATCACATTTTGTTTTTTGTATCTGTCGGGGACTCAAATAGTATTCCACCTCCACCAGAAATCCTAGTCTGTACCAACTGCTCAAGGCATTACAAAGGCAAATGATGGTGTCACTTCACATAATGGATTCTAATTCTTGTAGATTAAACAAATATTGGTTAATCCATCTGTCGGAGTAGCAGTTTCCCTTCGACCTAGAACACAAATACAGTGAAACAGTGCCACTAGAGGAAAAGAGAACCATACAGGTGAATTAAATTGGTGGCCATCCAAAGCAAGTATTAGTTTAAGGCATTGGAAGGCAACCTTCGGGTCTCCAGCTGTGCTGAAAGTACAACTTCCACCATGCTTCTTCCACTGCTAGTCATGCCTGTGGCTGTCAGAGTCTTGCAATGCCTCCTGGGGTTTGTAGTTTAACCACAGCTGGGGTGCCGAGGTTGCCCACTCCTGGTTTAGGGTGAAGGTGTCCTTGCACTACAACGTGATATTGTTCCAAATAGATAATAACAAACCTCTTTCTGCTTGGGTTCTTGTGGATAGACATCAGGTGGTCCAAGTCTGGGTCTTTTGAGAGGTCTTTCTTCATAACTAAGAATTCCCAGAGTGGCCATGATTTTTCATGGTACCTTCTTCTAAAATGAAATGTGGCACAGAGTCACTTTCACCACACAGGAAAAAAGTTTCAGCAAATCTAAAGGAACAAAAGGATGACAGTGGTTACCAACAGGCCATAAATAGGTAACAAATCATGAGACTAATTAGGAATAAACATGCAGCTATACAATCTATCTGTTTCAGGGCTGCAGTAAATGAGCTGCACAATAGCTGGACTAGATATGACATCTCAGCCCCTTTGCAGGACTGGTCAAGCAGTAGTAAGCTTTGCATGTTATATTACTGTTTTGGAGGTTATTTGTTACATTTTTTAACATAGACTTGTTTTCTTATTTTGTTTGATTTATATGAAATAACACATAATTATTATACTTATAAGCAAAGGTTTAACGTTTTTACTGCTCTATAATATTCAATACTGTCCTTTTAAAATGGAACTTTACCAATATCTTCAATATAAAAACAAATACACCTTTTTAAAATGTTTAGTAATGACAATTTACAAACAGATACTTGCCAGCTTTGTATTCTTTTCATACCTTATTATTTTTTTCCTCCCCATTCTTCTCACAGTGGCCATTTTTACTAAGGGCAGATTAATCCATCTCCCTTTACTTCCTGGAACTCTGGCACATGTGACTAGACAAGGGACTAGGACATGTGACTATGCACATCATCTCAGGGGAAGAAAATGCCTTTCCCTGAGATCTCATGAGATTACAGATGAGATTTCCCAGCAATGTTCTGCTGATGCAACCATCCCAGGATGCAATGCTTGGGCACAGTACATCACTTTTGCCAAAGAGAACCAGGAAGTAGAAAACTAATTTTTTTATCTTGAATTTAAAATGCTTTCATATCAGCATGCAGGGCTGTATGCTGATGTGATTTTTAGCCAAAGAGGGGTCACTTTAAGTGACAGGGTCTTGTTAAGGCACCAACCTCCCACCCAACCCTATCGCCCAACCCAGTTATATTGACCTTTACAGTGATGATCCTTCTCCTGTTGCTGCTGATGCAAAATTTCTGGTGCTTACAAGTATGGGAGAGCATGTGACCTCCTCCCATATATAACTCAATATAACTGGGTTTGGAGCCCTATCTCCCAACCCAGTTATATTTACCTTCACAGTAGTCCCTAGATGACCCTTCTCCTGTTTATCTAAATCTCAGCTTGAGCTACTGAGCAATGTGAGAGTCTGAAAAAAATGAAAACTGAGCCTATAGCGCCACCTTCTGGCCCAAAGGAAGAATGCAAAACATTAGTATGCAATATTCTATGGTTACCTGCTACTCTTTAGCTCCTGGCCGTACGTGACTACAAATTCCTTTCAAAAGGGGGGCATTTTGTTGTTGCCCACAGCAACTAGTCAGATTTTTCTTTTCCCGTTTTCATACAGCATTAGGAGCTTAAAAAGGAAAATCTAATTGGCTACCATGAGCAGAATGAATGTCCTTAATTTACATATGATGTTTAGCAGCATTTTTCACCATTTTTAACTTGCACTTCCACCCTGCCACTGCCCCATGTCCAAGTTTATAAGCTTGAAGGAAACCAAAAGATGTTTTGCATTGGATTTAGGTGAAGTGTGGCATAATAAAAAGCAATTACTTTACCAGTCCATATAAATTGTTTCCTTTTCATTTTAACAAATAAAATTAGCCATGTGTACCATTATTTTTCAATAAACTTTCAGATTAAACAGTAAGCAAACATAAGCCAGTGTAAATTTGTTTAGGTCTTCTGAGGTCAGTTACAAACATGTCTAACACATTCTGTACTTGCAGATTTAGTACATTACACACTCCAGTTGAGCCATGCAGATACAGACAGTTACATTTTCAGTGCAATAATCAGAATTTTAACAAATCGCCATCCTTCGTGACTGAAGCTGTTTTTCCCTGCATGCTATTTATGTACGCTGCTAAGTGCAGCAATTAAATGCCTTCTGCTTTCTGAAGCATGCATCTCTTAACCCTTGCCATGCAGCAAATATTTTTCTAGCAGCGTGTGGGTTAATACCATACAGATCATGCATGACTTTATTCTGCGGTGCTTCCACTGTAGTAGTTTTTTGTCTGTGGTTGCTAGGCAGAATCTTAACTCCTACACAACAGCAGTGAACTATGGAATCAGCTGGCTGCCGGATATGGTATTCACTTTTACTTGCCTTGGCCTCAAGCTATGTAGAACTGGGATCCGGCCTGTCCTGGATGCTTGGAAATGTGAAGATCGGGCCAGGTTGCTTGTTGGTGTCACCAGCGTGATGGTATACTCCAAGGATGCTTGCACTCCAGGGCTGTTATTGCTTTCATCCCTTATTTAGTGCATCAGCACAGACAGGTTGGCTGGGGAAGTGATGACAAGGCTTGCAGCTGATATTCAGAACAGGTCAATGAACAGATCAGTTTAGTGCTGCAGGCTCTGGGAGGGGATCCAGTCAGTGCTGCAGTGGCTGCAGAGTCCTGGCTCTCACAATCAAAGCACCACCATGCACTTGCTCTTCCAGCTGCACAGGCTGACGTCTGTCAGGCTGCCGGCTTCCAACCCACTTCACAGCTGGCCACGTCACAGGGAGGTTAAAGGGGACAGGCACATTTTTTTGTCAGCTAACATGCACGCTTTCTCACACGTTCTCTCTCTCTCTCTTTCTCTCTCTCTCTCTCTCTCTCTCATAAAGCCTAATGGGAATATAAATTTCAAAGCACGCACATAAACACACATGAATAATGATTAAAAGCAATACAAATCTATGATGGAACACTATACTCGCCATTCTTTTTATCGAAGCACATAATAATTACATTATATTTGATACATTGTGTGAGCTAAACAATGTGTTTATTTCATTACATGTAGGTAGCAGCAAGGCACATTGGTATTAACCTTTATAAATTCAGGTACAAAATGCCATTTTATATCTCAGTGATCCTCAATCGATGCCATCAGAGCCAGCTAGAGTTGCTTGCAGTTGCTAAGGCCTCATTCACACAGTTAAGAGTCGGACCGTACAGATCTGTGCGGCGTGCACGGCCGTATAGTGCTGTTCCCGGGAAGGACAGGTGCTGGGTGTGATTGTACTCAGAAGCCTGTTCTTCTCTATAGGTGCCCATACACTGCACGATTATCGTACGATAATCGTATGCGATCGGGTTTTCGTACGATAATCGAGCAGTGTGAACGGAGACGTGCGACCGTTTCTACTGTACGGTCGCACGTCTTCTGTCGAACCAGCATGTTCGAAAACCAGCCGGGAATCGTACGATTCTCGGCTGGTTAGAACGGTGCTCGGAAGATAAATGCTGAACGGGCCGGTGTGCGCACGCGCACACTGCCCGTTCAGCATTGCGGTCATCGGAAGCCCGCCCCTCAGGAGGGCGGGCTTGCGATGATCGAGAGTGCGATCTGCCTGTCCAAGATAGGCAGATTGTACGTTTTTTTAATCCCTTTACAACCATCGCAAGACTAAAGTCTTGCGATGGTTGTAGAGTGTATGGCCACCTTATGGGAGAACACGGCCGTACGCTCACCAGAGCTGCACATCCGTGCGGGTGTCCGTACTCGGACACAGACAGGATGGATCCTGTCTGCGTCCGAGCACGGACACCCGCACCCACACGGATGTGCAGCTCGGGTGAGTGTACGGTGGCGTACAGCTGCGTCCTCCCACAGGGAAAAACAGGCTGCTGCGTACAATCACATGCAGCACCTGTCCTTCCCGGGAATGGCCCGTTATGGCCGTGCACGCCGCAAGGGACTGTATGGCCTAACTCTTAGCTGTGTGGATGAGGCCTTAACATGAATGACCATGCAGGCCAAAGCAAAATATTTGCTTTAATTCCCCCCTCCCCTGCCACACACACTCACCTTTCCTTCACTCCTCTAGCCCTCTATTAGCCACCTCCTAGTAACAGGAGAAGCTGCCCCATGTAAACTAAGGCCAGGTTCACACCTGCGCGATCCTTGATCGCACAGCAATTGTGCACAATACCGCGTGGATTGCCATGGTGTCACGGAGTTGCCCACCACCGCCGATCATGCTGGCGGTGCCATTATGTTCTAATGACACCCAAGTCGCGCCGGGCGCATCGCGGGGTTTCCCGCCACGATTCAAGCCTGAAACAGCCGCGCATCATATGTCGCAAAAAAAGGTGCATGAACCTTTTTTCTGCGATTTGACACGTGGCCGTAACCCCATTGAAATCAAAGGGGCCGCGTGGCAATCGCTGTGTGCAATTGTGCACGATTGCGCGGTCCCGGATCGCCCCGGTCTGCACCAGCCCTAAAAGTCTCTAAATTCATAGCTTACACAGAGCTATGAACTCTTCTCATGACAATGCTGGTGCTTGCTTATTGGCCCAGCACTGTCACATGGAGTGAGTCACACTCACCTCCATACCCGGAAGTACCAGGTATTTTCTTCACGCAGGACAGCTGAACCAAGTAGAGAGGAATGTGGGTATGTGCTGCTACTGAGGGCTGTTGGTTGACCATTTATGAGGGAAGTGAGTATGTTTTAAGGATGATGTTAGATGGGCATCTTTAGTGCTGTTGACATTTTTCAGTAGAACTGCAGAGTGCTGTGTGCAGCAGGATCACAGAGCTCATCTGACAGCATGCAGATCATTACTCCAGTCTTACCTTCAGTTTTCAGAAACAATGGTTTCTACAAATGCCATGATAAAATGGGCCCAATGGCGCAGTTGCTACTTTCAGACTGGATTCATCTTGCAATGTGGATTTAAGTCAATAAAAATCACTCAAACCATGAAATTGAGCCTGTGGTGGTGAACCCGCAGTTTCAGACTTCACATAGTGTCTGCCACTAAAACCCACACGGTGGGTGTCATTGACAACAGATGTCAGTATATCGGGGTGGAGAGTGCCGGGTCTCAGGAGATTGGCTCAGGTCCATTTCAGTCAAGGGCATTGTCTTGCATATCCTCTTGCTAAGGGCTGCTTATTGTACCCTTCTAAATTCCATCAAGGCAGTCA